GAATATTCCGCCACAAAACCCTGCGCGGCTCCTGAGCACCGTAAGCCTGCGTCAGCTGTGAAGGTGGATTTAACGATCACGTGGACGCGCTGCAAATCACTCACTTTTCGTATGTCTTATTTTTTCATGGGAAGGACTATCTAGTATCTAATGTTCTATTCGCATGGTCTCACTCAACAACAAAAATAAGCATATACCTATGTAGAGAAAAAGGAAATTAAAATCGACTCTCACTTGGAATAAGCATACAACTCTTAAATGTCTTAAATGTTGAATAGAGATGTTTTGGCGAAAAACTGGACAGTTAATTTAAGCCAAAGTTTCTTTAGCTTTTGGAGGATAGCACGATTTCTAATTTAGGTGTGGGTGTTAGATAGGTGATACCTGATCTCATGGGCACAAGGTTAACATTTCTGCCAATGCCGCCAAAACATTTTTTAAGGAAGGTTCTTTTTCATCACCTTAAGCTACAAAGCCAAGCGTGATACCACCAAAAAATTTAAAAGTTATTTGCATGCATCGTCTAAACCAGCCTCAGCCCGGTCTGAAGCAGACCGGCGACCCCTCCTCCGTCAGCTGCGTGCGGGGCGTGTTCAGAGCCGACAGAGGAGCGGTGACGCTGCTCACGGACGTCAAGTGACCTGACGTCACGAGTGGTCAGTCAGCTGAGCTCCGTGAGAGGAGGGCGGGTCACCGGGCTGCACGGAGCACGAGCTGACCATCGCTGGAGTTTCACAGCGGCAGGCCGAGCTCACACGGCCGCAGAGCAGCGACGGAGAAAGAAAGACCGCTTCTACGAGCCTAATTATCCGCACCTGCCTGCTAATGAAAATGGCACATCACATAGTCATTTCAAGGTATCCTCGATTACAAAATTGAGCAAGTGTGTTAGTTAACCTCGTCAATGTGACAACCTTACTATATCATGTCCCACTGTTGTCCTCGGCCACCGCTCCGCTGTCCGCCGCCCGCTACCCGCCGTCTATCGCTCTCGGCTTCTCACCAATACAATGTCGTCCCCGAACAAGCTGACCGAGGCGTGCTGGACCGGAGTACGCTCACGTTCTGGCTGACCGCGACTGGAGGATGGTGTGCAGAGGGGGTAGGGAGGGGAGGGTAGGGCAGGGGCTAGCGGAGGGGAGGGGAGGGGAGGGGAGGGCGCCGTGTCAGAGGCCGCCCATCACCCGGAACAGAGCGCTTCCCGTGCTCCAGTGGAGCGTGCCGCTCTGCTAACGGGCCAGCTAATGGACAGCGAAATGCCTCGGGCACGACTAGTGGACTGGTAGCTTGTCATCAGAAATTCGGTGGTTCCTAGCGATGGATGACCAAAGCCCCTACAATAGATGTGTCCAAATATTCTGCATGTTCCCATCAAGGAAGTTTCGAGGACGGTCTCTAATGACCAATGGTTTGCGCATTAGTGAACATTTACCGCTGACCCATTCTGTTGGACAGAAGTTCTACTCTGTAGGGTCACCGGTACGAGTATGTCGCGGAGCAGCTGCTCCACTTCCCCCGCGGCACGACGCCGGCTCGGTGTAGTGGCCAGCGCAGGACCGCCGGCTGCGGGCTCGGTATAGTGGCCAGCGCAGGACCGCCGGCTGCGGGCCCGCGTCGGCTCATTAAGCCGCCGGCTGCGGGCTCGCAATCAGCTCGTTCAGTGCATGTGTAGTACCCAGCGGTGTCGCTGTCCGGCGGTCGGTAGCCGCCCCGCGCGGTGTGGACCGTGGGAAGCAGTCGGTGCAGCCGGCGGCGGACGGTTTCACCGCGCGGGGACGTAGCACGCGCAGGCCGACCTCCAAAGCCGCTCGTGCCTGACGCTGGCCCGGTGGCGCGGGTCAGATCCCCCGCCCCCGGAGAGGCTGAGCTCCCACTGTGGGAGAGCGGATAGGGCGCTACCGGGTCAGGGGTGATGGCCAGCGTAACAGGGGTGGGACGACGGGCCGGATACACTGTGTGGGACGCGAGTAGGAATGCAAGGACTCTAAAATCAGAGGAAGGTGGCTGGGATTCTCTTTTCTGGTAAGATAGGCTTCGATAATTTCAAGTGAACGTACCCAGGAACAAAAGACATCCCAGCATTTTCGCGATTTGAGAGCAAAACAAAGGTTTCCGTGAGTGAGCCATCGTTCACCGTTCCAATTAAGTTGTTAGTTGTGCTGACGAATCTTCTTCCAATTTTTCCCAACACCTCAGGCAGGTGCTTAAATGCAGTGATTGATGTGCTGGCAGTGACTCGGTAATCACGTGCGCGAGTGACTCGAACATCCTGTGCGCCAAGGACTCGACCGGATTCTATCCTGTGCTCGGGTTTGTGATGTGTTGATGGCGGCAGTGAGCCTCACCACACACCCTCATAAGGGAGGGCTTCGGAACTTCTTGTCTAGAAAGGGCCTTTGTACCGTGAGTAGGTGTCGACTGTCGACCACGTGCTGATGCAGGACTCTCGTGTTCAGGTGCAGCGGGTGGTGACAGGACCCTCGTGTTCATGTACAGCGGGTGGTGACGGGACTTTGCTCACGGACTGTTTAGGACCTTATGGTGGTTACGGCATTTTGTCCGTTGTAGGTAAACTCTGTGAGCGTGTAGTTGGAAATCAGTTAATGTCATATTTAAGCGAACATCATATACTTTGCGCTGAACAGCATGGCTTCCGCCCGGGCCACTCCACGGAGTCGGCGATGCTGTGCGCTGTTGACAGGCTTGTCAGCAGCATGGACCGTGGCCTCGTCTCCACGTTGACGACGACAGACACGTCCAAAGCGTTTGACAGCGTGCAGCATTGCCGGCTCCTGGAAAAGCTCGGATGGTATGGTGTGGATGACCATTGGTTCCGCGGTTGGCTCGAAGGCCGAACGCAGCGTGTGGCGGGGTGTACAACGCCAGTGGCGGTGACACATGGCGTGATCCAAGGGAGTACTTTGGGACCGATCTTGTTTTTACTATTTACCAACGATTTACCTTCTTTTATTCGCCACGGACAGCTCATCATGTATGCCGACGACGCGCAGTTTATGATGCGGATGCTCCGGCCAACGTGGGTGACCTCCGTACTAGAGTAGAGAACACGCTCAAAATTGTTTTGAATTGGTTTACTCAAAATCGTTTAAAAATTAATCCCTCAAAAACAGATCTCTTGGTCGTGAAGTCTAAGCGAATTCACTTAGAAATCAACGAAACATTTAAAATTCATTTTGGGGAACAGCTCATCAGTCCTTCTCCTTCTGTGAAGGTTCTTGGCATAACTTTGGACTCTTATCTTAATTGGGACCTCCAGATATCTGCCGTCATCAGGCGCTGTTATGGCATGTTGGTGGGACTTGCAAAGCTGAGCCACCGACTACCACACGAGACCAAAAAAGTTATCATCGAAGGGCTTGTTTATCCCCACATCACTTACTGTCTGACCGTTTGGGGCGGCTGCACCAAAACCCAAAAGTATAGGATCCAGAAAGTTCTAAATTTTGGTGCCAGGATCATCACCGGACTAAAGAGGTCTCAGCATATTACTCCCGCTTTAAAAGAACTGGGATGGCTCAAAATTGATGAGCTGATTACTAAATGTGACTTGGCGGCACTTTGTCGGATTCTGGGGTCACCTGAGTCGCCTGAGCATCTCCGCACGATGATTGTGTCCCGTTCAGATGTATCAGAAAGGACCACGCGGGGATCGGAGAGTATGCTGCTGCAAATGCCACGCGTGCGCACAGAACTCGCTCGCCGTGCATTTATGTGCCGGGCTACCACCGCCTGGAACCGCCTGCCAGCCGAGCTCAGGAGGAGTCGTTTACTGTGTCACCCACGGAGGTGAATCGCGAGACATGGGGAGTAGATGTGCTCAGTTTTATCGCATTTTAGCAATTTATAGTGATTTTTAAACCATCATTTTTTCGTGTTTTATGAACATGTTCACTGTGTTTAACTAATGTACTGACTCTGAAATCGGAAGAGCCACGATGTGGAGATTTTTATGAATACAATACATACATACATACGGCATTCTCGTAACGAGGGACGACTGGTCGTGACGGGACTCTCGCGCCGGGGGGTGACTCGTGGTGACGGGACTCTCGCGCCGTGGAGTCACTGGTGGTCGGTCCGTTCCACTCCGCCGGCGGCCCGCAGTGGCTCGCCCGCCGGCCGCTCGTGCCGTCCGTCGATCCAAGAAGTGCGGCGGGAGCGACCGCACGTTTCACCGAGCGAGTGGCCGGCGCTCCGAAATGCAAATCAGCGCATGTAGGGTGGGATCACTGCACTCCGGAACAGACGGCTGATTAATTGGCAACGGAAGAATTCGATGCTCTCAAGCTTAGTTTTGAATATTTGCTACCCTAAATTTCGAATGCCTATACTTTTTACGAAAGTGGCGTTCAATGCTTCTTTCCTAAATCATAAGGAAAGCAAAGCACTTTTGAGGTGGGATAGCCATTGAGCATAGCAGCTACCACAGGCTCATTTTTCCCATAGAATCTTCAGTGATGGCCATTTCCGAGAGGTCTGGTCCAGGCCATGTCGGACTACGTTATTCGGTCCGGTGCGTTGGTAGGCTCGTGACACTATTGCTTCACGCCGTGACAGTTCTTTCAACTGCCCTCTTACAACACACCAAAGAACTAACCATCAGTCACAACATCTCGTGGCTATGTCAGGGCCTCATGTGGTGTCATGCATCATTAACCGACACTTACCGTGCCTTCGGATGAACCGCAGCCAATGACCACACCATCACGAATTCGTGGTAAATAACAGGATACCACAAAACACGATGGTGAAGTTCATGAAGCTCTGGCAGAACTCACTGGTGTTTGTGTACTTGTTGCAGTGTTCACTGGTGTTAATGTGTTTGTTGCAGAACTCACTTGTGTTAATGTTTTTGTTACATACCTCACTGGTGTTTGTGTGTTTGTTGCAGGCCTCACAGGTGTTTGTGTGTTATTGCAGAAAGCACTGGGGCTTGTGTATTATTGCAGAACTCACTGGTGTTTGTGTGTTTGTTGCAGGGCTCTGACTCACTGCTGGTGTCGCTGTACATTGAAGACGTCAATGACCACCCGCCGGTGTTTGTCGGGGCGCCCTATCAGGTCACCGTGGACGAGCTCACCCCGCCAGGTCAGAGGTCAACGGGGTCACCAGGGGTCACCAGGGGTCACAGGGGTCATCAGGGGTCACCAGGTGTCAGGGGTCACAGGGGTCACCAGGGGTCACCAGGGATCACCTGGAGTCACCAGGGATCACCAGGGGTCACCAGGGATCACCTGGAGTCACCAGGGATCACCAGGGGTCACAGGTCACCGTGGACGAGCTCACCCCGCCAGGTCAGAGGTCACAGGGGTCATCAGGGGTCAGAGGTCACAGGGGTCACCAGGGGTCACAGGTCACCGTGGACGAGCTCACCCCCGCCAGGTCAGAGGTCAACGGGGTCACCAGGGGTCAGGGGTCACCAGGGGTCACACAGCCAGTAAGGTCTGGGGTCAAAAGATCACTATATCAGAAGTGGTTACGCAGTTACTGGAACATCAGATGAAGTATTTTCAGATGCATAAAGGAAAATGACTCAAAATAACATTGGTTAAAAATGCAAAAGTTCCATTAGTCAGTAGGCTCAGTTTATACAAAGCCGTTACTGGATTAGACGAGCGCACGATAAATTTCAAGACACATGTCGCTCTGAACACTTTTATTGGGTACTGCATGGCTTTAAGAAATTCGTAGATGCCTTCTGGCGCCCACGGCAACATTTCACTCTGCACATCAGAAAGAAAGGGTTTAGGAAATTAAATGTGACGTGAGGTACCGCTCACCTACCTATTTTCAAATGTTTGGTCTTTCCAATTTCCATTTTGTAACAATTTTCTTTTGAAGGGAAACACCTAGAGCAGGCATTGAATTGTGCAATGTCCGTTGTCTGCGCAGTAGTTAGATAGTTAATTTGTCTCTTTTCTCGCCCGCAGGAATTGTCGTATTCGACGGAATCATCGCCGAAGATAACGATAAGCCGAACACAGCCAACAGCGACATCTACTATTGGATATCGCGGGGAAACGAGAACCTCAAGTTCAGTCTGTCGCCGCTGCCGAACGGCGGCGCTGCTGTCGTGCTGGAAAAGCCGCTCGATTTCGAGGACGGAGACCGGGAGCTCAATTTGACCATCACAGCCTCGGTAAGGCGACATTACAAAGCACAGAACACAAATGACGATATAAAATTGTTATTGTGTCGGCAGCCAAAAGAAGCGCTTAAGCGAAGAGTGACTGCAGCAATGCACACAACAGCAACACCACAGGATGGAGAATACCTACATACAGGCGCAGTAGTAACGCTGCGTTATGAAGACTGCAACGTCACACACAACAGTAGCACCACGGCATGGAGACTGCACCAGGGCACACAACAGTAACACCGCGGTATGGAGACTGCTACAGTACACATAGCAGTAAACCCACCGTATGGAGACTGCAACAGTGCACACAATAGAAGCACCACGGTATGGAGACTGTATTAGTACACACAACAGTAGCACCGCGGTATGAAGACTGCAACAGTACACACACCATAGAAGCACCATGATAGGGAGACTGCAACAACACACATAACAGTAGCATCACGGGACTACAATTGTGCACACGACAGTACCACCACGGTATTGAGGCTGCAATAGCACACATAACTTAACAGTAACACCGCAGGATGAAGACTGCAACTGTGCACAAAACAGTAGCCAACACGGTATGGAGACTGCTACGAGTATAGCACACAAAATAGCCGGCAGTGTCCTTCAGACAGTATCCCCCTGGCAGTATACCTGTGTCCCTTTGACAGTATCCCCCTGACAGTTTCCTGTGTCTCCCTGACAGTGTCCTCCCTCTGACAGAGTCCCTGTGACAGTATCCCTCTGACGGTATCCCTCTGTTGTCCGTAGGACCGCGGTGCGCCCGCCCGACTCAGCCGCGCCCAGATAACGGTGTCTCCCTGACAGTGTGCTTCCTCTGACAGAAGATATACCTGTGTCCGTAGGACCGCGGCGCGCCGGCCCGTCTCAGCCGGGCCCAGCTGACGGTGTCTCCCTGACAGGGTACCTGTGACAGTATCCCTCTGATGTTCCCAGGACCGCGGTGCACCCGCCCGTCTCAGCCGCGCCCAGCTAACGGTGTCGGTCAGAGACAGCGACGACCAGCCGCCCGTGTTCACGGCGCCAGTGTACCGAGCCAGCGTCACAGAGTACCCCGGGACGCAGGTGAGAACATAGAGTATAGAGTACAGGGTACAGAGTACCCCTGTACCGCGCCAGCGTCACAGAGTACCCCGGACCGCAGGTGAGAACATAGAGTACAGGGTATATGGTACAGAGTACCCCGGACCGCAGTGTTGAGAACATAGGGTACAGAGTACAGGGTACACAGAGTACAGAGTACCCCGGGACGGCACCCCTGTACCGCGCCAGCGTCACAGAGTACCCCGGACTGCAGGTGAGAACATAGAGTACATAGTACAGGGTACACAGAGTACAGAGTACCCCGGGACGGCGCCAGTGTACCGCGCCAGCGTCACAGAGTACCCCGGACAGCAGGTGAGAGGATCAGAGTACAGAGTACGCAAGGTACAGCCCCAGACTGCAGGTAAATAGAAGATACGGAGTACAGGGTACACAGAGTACAGAGTACCCCGGACCGCAGGTAAATAGAGAGTGCAGAGTACACAGGGTAGGTACCTCGGGTCACAAGTAGGTAGATAATTTATTACGAATTATTTACGCTTTACGCAAAAAAAAAACGCATTATCAAATAACCTTCCAGGTGACAATTGCTGACATCTGCTAGTGTACATTCGTGTTTACTTAGAAACAATAATGTTGATATCCATCTAGGGCACGACTGCATTAACTTAGAGCGAGTCCCCCTCCCCCCCCAGATGCGGACCCTGGATCTGCCACTGCGCACCGAGCCGGCCATTCTGGCCTACGACGCCGACCTGGCGATCGACCAGCCGCTGCAGTACGGCATCGCGTCCGGCAACTCAGGCGGCCACTTCAGCATCGACAGGGAGACGGGCCGGCTGACCCTGGTCAGGACCTTCGACCGCGAGCGGCTCGATCAGGTGGGCGGGGCGCGGCGGCAGGACGAGGAGACGGGAGTGGAGGGACGGCGAACTTCAGATGGAATTATCCTGTGATTTCGCTACTCGATATAGCATTTGAGCGTAGACGTTTAAACTAGCTACTCTGTGAATCTCTAAACTAGTTAGTTACCCTGTGAATCTCTTTCCTTTTGCTGCTCAAAAATACTACTAACATTAAGCGAAATGTTAAGGTGGCTTTCATCCAGCCGATTACTCGTGGCAAAAATATGCGAGATGAAGAAACGACTAAATTGAATATCTGACAAGCTCTGCACGGATTTATGAAAGTCCATTCGCATCTAACCATAAAGTTGCCGATATCATGACGTTTTCAGGACGAGGTATCGCTGATGATCGAGGCCTGGCAGACGGACGACCGGTCCAGGTCAGCCCGAGCAGAGGTCAAGGTCAAGGTCACGGACCTAAACGACAACCGTCCGGATTTTGCGGTGGACCGGTACAACATCAGTATCATCGAGAACCTGCTGCGGGGCTTCAGCATCGTCCAGTTGCAGGCCACCGACCCGGACGAGGTGAGAGGGAGGGACAGGCGGGGTTGTCAAAATAGGAGGACGAGAGGGTCGGATGATTATATAAAGTGTTTTGAGGAGCTGGGTCATCACATTTATGTACCACTTTCACTGCCACCCCTTGTCCAACAAATGTTGTTGCATATTTGCATCGATGTCAAAGGCATTCTGTTATGAACTGTGCTGGAATGCCTTTATTGAAATGCATTAGTAACATCCAGATATACCTAAAAATAGTAATACACATGAAAATTTCACATTGAACAACAATGAAGAGAGCACCACGTAGTGCGCTGTCTCTCCGCCCGATGCTGTCCGCCGTCCTCCCTCGCAGGGTGATAACGGCCATTTCACACTAACCTTCGCTAAAGCGCGGTTCACATTACTCCCCTCAGAACGATAGCACCCGGCTCACACTGACCTTTACAGGGCGACAACGCCCGGTTCACATTAACCTTTACAGGGCGATAACGCCCTTTTCACATTGGCCGTTCTGTAGGGTGACAACGCCCGTTTGACACTGACGGTTCCACAGGGCGACAACGCCCGGTTCACGTACCGGCTGGAGGACCGGTCGGGCGCGTTCGGCCTGGACCCGACCTCCGGCTGGCTAACGGTGGCCGACCAAACCCGCCTGGACCGGGAGACCCGGCCGCTGCTCCAGCTGGACATCTTCGCCGACGAGCTGCGGCCCAACGTACTGGATGAACGGTGGGAAGGGAGGGAAGACGAACGGTGGGAAGGGATGGAGGGAGGACGGTGGGAAGGGAGGGAGCCGGGAGGACGAACGGTGGGAAGGGAGGGGGAACGAACGGTGGGAAGAGAGGGGAACGAGCTGTGACCTAACGAACTGGACGAACGGTGGGAAGGGAGCGGGACGAACGGTGGGAAGGGAGGGGGACGGCGGGAAGGGGGGAGGGAGGACGGTGGGAAGGGAGGGAGGGAGGACGAACGGTGGGAAGGGATGGAGGGAGGACAGTGGGAAGGGAGCGGGACGAACGGTGGGAAGGGGAGGAGAAGGACGAGCTGAGGCCCAACGTGCTGGACGAACGGTGGGAAGAGAGGGAGGGAGGACGAGCGGGGGAAGGGAGGGAGGGAGGACGGTGGGAAGGGAGGGAGGGAGGACGGTGGGAAGGGAGGGAGAACGAATGGGGAATGGAGGGAGGGAGGACGGTGGGAAGGGAGGGAGGACGAACGGTGGGAAGAGAGGGAGGGAGGACGATGGGAAGGGGAGGGAGGGAGGACGAACGGTGGGAGGGACGAGCTGCGAGCCAACATGGTGGACGAGTGATGGGAAAAGAGGGAGGACGAGCGGTGGGAAGGGAAGGAGGATTTCGTGTTTTACCGACAAAGAGGGTCAAGATATTCTCGATGGAGTGTGAAAAGGGTAGGGTGTGGTGATAAGACGGAAGTCAGACTCCACCCTGAAACTGGTTTACCAGCAATTAAGTTGCGCGTACGCGACGTATTTATGATAAATAATATCTGTTGTGCGGTTTCAGTGGCGAGGTGAAGTCGATGACGAGTGTGATGATTAACCTGCTGGACTCGAACGACAACAACCCTCAGTTCGAGCCGACCAACACGTATCAGTTCGTGGTGGAGGGAAACAGCTCCGTGGGAAGCGTCATCGGACAGGTGAGGAGAGTGAAAACGACTTCACCGTCTGGGGCAGCGGCCAGCGACTAAATGAAATTAAAATACACAGAGTGGACACTAACTGATTAGACCGGCCAAAAGGGCGCTGACTCTTGATCATCAGAGTTTTCAGCATTAATAAGTTGATGTTCAGAGGAGTATTGCATGTTCCTTCCATCTGACATGCCCAATGTCCATGAACATCTTTGCTTGAAAAGATAGTTGTAAGTCCACCGTCTGCTCTGCTCTGCTCTGATCGTTCGCCTTCGATATCTTGCTAGATGACCTGATTGTCTCCCCTTCCCCCATCGTGCAGGTGTCTGCCACCGATCCGGACGAGGCAGGTAACGGCCGGGTGCGGTTCTCCTTTGAGAACAGTACGCTGGCGGACGGCGGGGCGGCGTTCTCTGTCTCGGCGGAGAGCGGGGAGCTGGTCCAGCGGCGGCCGCTGCCGGCCGGCCCGTACGTGCTGTTTGTGCGCGCCGAGGACTCGCCCGAGAGCCGGGGACAGACGCGCAGTGCGCTGGCTGTCGTCACGGTGCTGGTGCGGCCCAGGAACGTCCGGCCGCCCAGGTGGGTAGCTGGGGGAGGACGGGAGGGTAGGGAACGTCAGACCTCCCAGGAAGGGGAGAGGGAGCGACCAGCCCCCAGGTAGGCGGGAAAGAGAGAACAAGAGAGAACAGGAGGGACAGGAGGGATAAAAGGGGACCGCAAAGGACGGGAGAGGAATAGAACCGGAAAAGACGTGAGGGCAGGGACGGGGAGGACAGGAGTAAGGATTGAAAGGAAAACAGGACTAGCGAATTGGAGACAGGAAACACGATCATATTTGAAAGAGAATTAACTTATTTAGTCACTTGCTAGTGATACTCTAAAATATTCATTGTTCGTTTGAGTGTGGCTTACTGACTTCCAACAGAGCATTTTTATTAATTTTGCGTACGATGATTTATCGTCCGGTGTATCAGCGCCCGTCATTGATCTCTTTTCTTCTTCTGGTCGATTACACCGTCCTCCAGGATTTATCTCCCAGCCGTTTAATTATTGCGTTTCTCATTTATTACGTTCCCCGCCGCTCCGTTTCAGCGTGTCTGCCGGCCAGCGACTGTGGGTGGGGAAGGATGTCGCCCCGGGGTCGATGCTGGGGCAGCTAATAGCCGGGGACCCGGACGGGGACAGCCTCACCTTCCGACTCCGAAACGGCACCGGTACGTAGGGGGCACTTGATAGATGAAAGTCGAAGACGCTTGTTAAAGGTAGTGTGCCAGCTTTCTTGGACCGTATGGAGTTAATGGCCCAGATAAGGAGAACCGGATTTTTAGAACTTATCCATACCTTCAAAACTCATGGAAGCGTCTTAAATTCTTCAAATTTTGAGTACCCCAGTGCGAAATTCGCCCCGACGGGTTGTCGGTCGTACCCCAACCACATTTCACACCACTATGAACAATAAATGCACACACTGAAATCGCTATTACCGATATGCTCATCTAATCAAGTTTCGATAAACCCGTTCATCATCATCTCCTGCGGTTTCGAACACGCCTGTTAGGTGGCTTCTGATGCTCGTCGAGGTCGGAATTTCCAAATACGCGTGGTGCGTCGGGCCGCGCGCTCTGACTTCGGCCAAGAAAAATGCGTCAGCTGATCATTGTCATTTCTGCCACTTGCGTGTGGTGAAATGGGGTCATAACTTATAAGACGGCTTTTTCATATCAATTATTTTACATAAAATCATATTTCAAACCATAAATAATGTTCGACAGCCAAATAAAAGAAACAATACCAATACGGGCTTACAGTTTAAGGCTCGACATTGTGTTGTCTACGATTAGACAGCTGATAACTCATTCCCGTAGGGGAAGCCGGGGGAAGCCCGGGCGCGGGGGAAGCCCGGCCACCCCGTTTCCGGCTAAATTATTCACAATAAAATGCTCAACTGTTTGTCCTTTCAGCGTGGCAGCTAAGGTAACGACAGCAAAAAAGTTAAGGCTGACAAAAATTGCATATTGTTAAAGTTATAGCGCAAAAATGATATTTTAATGGTTTTTAGCTAAAAAGTGAGATATCTTGCACTGTTAATGTTATACCATACAGTACTAATATTTATACGAATGTTATGTAAGGACAGTTTAAGTGTTTGTAGTGAGGAGTGTCGAGGCAGGCTGGCTTAAGTATGACATTTTTTCGAATAGCGCTGTTCTAAAATAAAAATTAGCACATTGGGGTAACCCCGGGCGAGTGGCCAAGCTTACCCCCAACCGAGAGCAATGCCACTAAACCACTGTTTTCCATGAGATAATAGGTACTGAGCAGGTTTGGTTTACACCTAGATCAAAGATAAATTTCGAAAATAAACATGTTATCATAGACAAAGCCAGTCATGTCACTTAAGGTCAACTAGGGTCAAACTACGTTTTTGCAGATAACGCGACAGACAATGAAGCTAGAGCTTCAAAAATGGAGTCGTTGTGTTCTTCTTCATCAGCCGAGTCGAATGACATGCAATATGATGCATTAAGGTAAAAAGAAAAATAAATTTTAAGGAATTTTAAAATACACATTTTTTTGTCAATTTCGCATCACGATTTTCATCGACCTGTATTGTGTATGTAGTAGACGCTAGCTAAAATGCCAGTAGTGACATAAACTCTAAGATGTCCAGAGCTAATCAGTACCTTAATATTTCACTTTCCGTTAATATTTGGAAAACACATAATGGTTTCATCAACTTGTTGTAAAGCGCTGGGGGAGGTGGCCGGCGTTACCCCTATGCCGGGCTTACCCCAGAAAAATCAACACTTTTTTAAAACTCGATTTTCTCAACCTTATACTTATTCCACAAAACCGAATTTTTGGGAAAACACGGCCAATGAACTTAGGTAGCTAGCAGGATATCAACATTTTATACAGCATGTATGGTATGTAATAAAAATGAAAAAGAGCTTACTATGCCGGGCTTCCCCCGGCTTCCCCTACGTCGTATGGTCGTAACACTATAATGACCTTTGCTTATTGTCACAAGTGCGCCGCATTCGCGATTGTTGCCCGACGCCTGTTTGCAGGTGAGCCCACTACAGTTGTTATACATATCTAAAAACCGAAAAACTTTTAGGCGAAAAAGGCACTATTCCAGGCCCATTTTTGATTTTTTTTGCGATATTAGGTAAAAACAGAAGCTTCTTATCCTAGGAAAAATAAAATGGGAAATCTTTCAAAGGTGGCACACTACCTTTAATTTGTTTTCCTGTTCATTAAAAAACCAGAAAAATTATGTTTATCTGATGTTTAAAAAATAACCTTTTTATTGATGCTATTACTTAGCAGCAGGCTTGCATTTTTTTTTTGTATCTTAATAATAATTTTCTCAGTACAGTGTCAATTGCTGTTTAGACGTGCTTGGCTGCTCTCATTACATTCATTCATATTCATATGAAGCTTTCAGTTTGCATGTTACCCACATGTGTTACATGCGCTCCAGAACTGTTTGAAATGGAGGAGGGCACGGGAGTAATCCGTGTCGTTTCGCCTCTGAACGACACGGCTCAGACCAAGTACACTCTGGGAGTGGACGTGACGGACGGCACGCATCTGACGGCCGCCGCCATTGACATCATCATCGTACCGGAAAACGCCGAGGAGGCCTTCGAGAGCGCCTCGTACAGCTTCGAGGTCGAGGTGAGGTGGCAGGCAGACTCAGGGGATGTCTAGTTGACAAGCAGTGCACAACATCACACCAGCTGGGCATCACTGGCCTACCCTGCGTGTGGTGCTAAAAAAAAACATTTATTTACAACCTAGCCTCACTGAGAATGGCTAATACTTGTACATAGACGGTAAAGTGCAACATCAGCTACGCTCGTATTGTCATTTGTTTCATACTTTCTGCTCATGTTGCGACTTTTGTAGTTGTAACGATGTAGGATGTGCAACAACTAGGTACTTGATAATAGTAGACGTAACCGTCTCTTTTCAGGAGAACTTGAGTAATCTTACCATCGGTTCACTTCTAAATGGCACCTCTGCTACTGAAGACTTACTTGAAGCCAAGATTCTGAACCCGTCTCTGAACGAGACCTTCGAGGTGACGGAGAAAGGAGAGCTTCGCCTTTTGAAACCGTTAGACTTCGAGGTAAGTCAGACGTGACACGTAGGTATGGAAGTTTAGACATGATCGACCAGCGTGGCAGCGATTAGCCTTAAAATGATCGGTAGGTAACGCTGATGCAAGGAACGCGGTTTCGTTGAAGAACCTACATAAATTCAATTATCCCGTAATGGACTAGGCATGTTTTCACAAGTTGCATGATGTTCGACTGTGCTTCTACGTACAAATTCACAGACTGGAGACTCCGTGCCCTCGCTCAGTAACTCCACACTCCTCTCCACCCGTCGCTACTAACTCCCTCCTCTGCCCCTTCTAGTCGGACCGGCAGCTGTCGTTCACAGCCGTGCTGCAGTACCGCCGCCGCGGACAGCGGTACGTGCGCGCCGCGGGCGTCACTATCCGGGTCCGCGACACCAACGACAACGGTCCGCGGTTCAGCAGCCGGCGCTACCGCGGCACCGTGCCGGCCGGCGCCATCGCGGGTACCCTGCTGGCGCTGACCCCTGAGGTCAGGGTCAGTGACCCGGACCGGGTGCGCAGCCGGCTCCGGTTCCAGCTGAGCGGCTGCGGGCAGACGTTCCACGTCAGCGCTCTGGCGCTGGTCAGCGTCGGCGAGCAGCGGTTCGACCGGGCGCGGTACGACTGTGAGCTGGAGGTGCTGGACGAGGAGGGCAGGCGCGACAGCAGCTCGCTGGAGGTGCGGGTGATGGGCTGGGGCGCGGCTGCCGAGACGAGCAGCGCGCTCACCGGCCGCTCCACCTCCGGCGCCTCGGAGGGCGCTGACTCGGGGTCCTCGACCTCCAGCACACAGTCTGATCCCGCGGACGGTGACCCGCTGCGTCTGGACAGTATCGTGGAGCGCGAGGACTTCCAGTCGCGGGCTCTGACGGGGCCGGACCGGGTGCTCACCCAGCTGCTCGGTTCCACCTCCGAGGCGAACGCCTCCTTCGTGCCGAGGGCGACCATCAGAATCCCTGCCGGGCTACCGGTGGGATCTAGAATATACCAGATACCCGAGTCAATCCTACCCCAACGCCAGCGACGTATCAACCTCATAGAGATATGGCCGGGTGACAGAGCTACGAAAACAAAAACTGCTGAACCTGAATGGTCGAACACAGGAGAGAAGCACTTCGCCGTTCAGTGGTCCTCAGACGGAGCCGCCCTACTGCTGGATGAGCCGCTGACTGCGCCCGGCCCGGTGGTTCTGAGGCTGCGGACTGAGGAAAAGGGGGTATCCAAGGACCTCCTGGCCCTGCTGGTAGACGTGGTGGCCGTCCCCCGGCCTCAGCTGCGGCAGGCCGAGGTCGCGGTGTCCCTGGACGAGGGCGAGTATACGGACGAGGAGGTGGGGACCATCCAGCTGGCGGGACCTCCGCAGGGCCGCGGCAGCGTCAGATTCAGCATCGCCGACGGGAACACGGCCCACCGCGTCTCCCAGGAGGGCGTCGTGTTCGTCTCGGGCAGCCTGGACTTCGAGCGGCGGCGGCGGGTGCCGGTGGCGGTGCTGGTCTGCCCGCAGCTCTGCACCGACCTGGCCTCGGCGCTGCCGCTGACCGACAGCGTCCAGGAGGCCTGCCAGCACACCTGTGCCGAGGGCGCCGTCACCATCTCCCTGCGGGATGTCAACGATAACCCGCCGCAGTTCCTGTTCGTCAGCGAGATAGTGACGGCCAAACGTGGTATCCAGAACGAGCCCGAGCTGCCGTACGCGGCGTACAAGCTGCGCACTCCAGCCGTGCTGGAGGAGGGTACCGTAGTTCTGAACACGACCACCTACGACGCAGACACATCGAACGGTGAGGTACGGTTCCAGATGATCACCCCAGACGAGAGTTTCGCCATTGACAGCGAGTCGGGTGTGCTGAGGACCACCAAACGCACTTCGTTCGGCGCGCGGACTCCGCGGCAGCTGGTGATTGCCGCGTACGACCCGGCGCGGCCCGGTCTGCGCAGTATGGCGCTGCTGGAGCTGGCGCCCGCAGACGTGGAGGACGTGCGGCCGGCGCGGGCGCTCGACAGCACGCTGTACTCCGTGGAGGTGCCCGAGAACTCCGTGGTGGCCCGGCTGCCCGTGCCGTGGACGCTGACCGAGTCGGCCCCCCGGCCGCCCCACCGCTGGACGCTGCGGACGGTGGGCGATCCCGCGCCGGGGTTCTCCGCTGCCGTGGCTGATGACATGCTGGAACTGACGGGAGCCATCGACTTCGAGGAGCGGCAACAGGTGTGGCTGCTGGTGACGCTGGAGTCGGGCGACCAGCCACCGCTGGACCAGAGCCCCGCAGAGGGTCAGACTGCCAACTCCAGCTGGTCGGCGGTCCCGGACCTGGGGTACCGGACCGCCCGCCGGCTGGGGTCCCTGCCGTTCCCGCCGCGCGGCCCCGCCCCCAGCCCGGAGACGCTGCTGTACAACCAGGCGCTGCTCCGGGTGGACGTGACGGACGTCAATGACCACGCGCCGCGGCTCAACGTCTCCAGACTGGCTGGCGTTGTGGGGGTGCCGTACGACGCCGGCTACGGCTTCACCCTCGTCACACTGCAGGTGGGTAACGGTACGGGCTAACCCTCGTCACACTGCAGGTGGGTAACGGGTTCACCCTCGTCACACTACAGATGGGTAACGGCCTCTCCCTCAGCACGCCATAGGTGAAGTACGATCTAGTGCTGAAAAGTGTTTACTGTTTGTTTGTAATAGTGTTTACACTTCACAGTGCCCCTTCTGGAATGGAACAGTGTTCACCAATTGTAGTAATAAATGGACAAGTATTGCATCGAGAGTACATGAACCTCCAGGCTCCACGAATCAAACAATTAAAACAGTTACATTAAAGGCGTACCGGTTTCGTCTATTAGACTTCTTCAGCGCCGTTGCATGAAACAAGGAACAAGAAAACGAGCACATCAATCGTTTGAAATAAATAGCACGTATTTCTGAGAACAAGGTCAGAGTAGTCGGGTACCTCCTAAATAAAACGAAATCATACATATTTTCGTGAACATGTAACAATCTATTCGGAACATGATATTACAATAGCTAAATAGTATTAAATCAATTGACGGTGCATATACTATGTTTCTCTCTCTCACTCTCTCTCTCTCTCTCTCTCTCTCTCTCTCTCTCTCTCTCTCTCTCTCTCTCTCTCTCTCTCTCTCTCTCTCTCTCTCTCTCTCTCTCTCTCTCTCTCTCTCTCTCTCTCTCTCCATTTTTAATTTTTATCTAGATCAATGATGCTCAATTGTGCTGCAGATTTCGCCCATTTTATAAACCCACCGTTCGTGTTGATCGTTTCGTTAGTTGCGATGTACGCTGCTTCGGTTGCTTTTCTAATCGCTTTTGAAGAGCATGAAGCTATAATTTCTGTCCCTTCCCAGTTCGGTAAATGTCCCGTTTTGTTCGCATGAGCCACAAAAGCGCTATGTTCCATAAAGTTACGAAAATCTCGTTTGTGCTCCTTCAGTCTAGTTTTTGCTCCCCTGCCTGTTTCTCCTATGTATGCCTTTTCACAAATCCCGCACGGTACACTATATACTACACTCTTATCCTCTTATCTGACTTGTCTTTCTTTTCTTTCTTTCGTATCATCTCGCCTATTTTTCGACCAGATGTCACAGCTGTGCGCGCGCCCGTCGTCTCGATTCGCTTGGCTACTACGTTCGCTAGCTTCGAATTCGGTATGGTAATGTAACGTTCGTTTTTCTTTCGCTGTCGTTCGGTCTCTGCTCTATTTCGGATCTCCATTGCCTTCCTTTTCAGATTTAAAAGAAGGCCCTTAGGGAACTTCAGTCTAATAAAAGAATCTAAGACATGTTGGACTTCCTGCTCCAGATACTCTTCGCTACATATGCGATAGGCCCTAAGAAAGAAACCTAAAACTACTCCCCGTTTGACTCTATCACTGTGTCCTGAATAAAAATGAATGTAATCTTCTTTGTTCGTTGGTTTTCTGTAAACTTTGAATTTTAGGCAGTCTCCTGTCCTTTCTATTTCAGTGTCTAAGAAGGGGATTCTACCTTGCTTTTCATGTTCAATAGTAAATTGGATCTTTGGATCTACTGCGTTAAGCTCATCTAGTTTTACGTTTAAGTCCATGTCACTTGGAGCAACAACCAGAACATCATCAACATATCTTACCCAGACTACGTTGTCCCCCATAATACTCTGGTAACGATGTTTCTCTAGCCACTCTAAGTACAGGCACGCTGCAACCGGACTAAGAGGTGAACCCATAGCTAATCCGCTATGTTGAAAGTATTCCTCAGACTCGAATGTGAGGCCACCAAAGTTCATGCAAAGTGCGATAAGTTTAAGATAGTCTGATTTGGCTAGTGGTAACTGATCTTGGTCCATGTTCCTTACCACCCCTTCAATGACTTTAAATGCACCGTCAATGGGGACATTCGTAAACAAGGATTTGACATCGAAGCTGGCTAAGCACTTTCCCGACATGTCTATAGGGCGGAGAATCTCCATCAGCTCGGCACTATTCTTAATGTGGCTGTCACTTATAGCGCCTAAATTGCTAGAGAGAGGTCTGGCCAGTACCTTGGCAAGTCGGTGGGGTACCTTGGCCAGTACCTTGGCAAGTCGGTGGCAAGCGAGAAGGGTGCTAAAGAAAACAGAAAAGGGGAAGAAACTACTTCATCTTTTGGAAGAAGCTCCCGGTGCCCCAAAGCTAAGAGGTCTTCCGAAACTACACAAAGCCGAGGTACCGGTGCGCCCTATCACGTCGGGCATAGGCAGCGCTCCCCACCGACTTGCCAAGGTACTGGCCAGACCTCTCTCTAGCAATTTAGGCGCTATAAGTGACAGCCACATTAAGAATAGTGCCGAGCTGATGGAGATTCTCCGCCCTATAGACATGTCGGGAAAGTGCTTAGCCAGCTTCGATGTCAAATCCTTGTTTACGAATGTCCCCATTGACGGTGCATTTAAAGTCATTGAAGGGGTGGTAAGGAACATGGACCAAGATCAGTTACCACTAGCCAAATCAGACTATCTTAAACTTATCGCACTTTGCATGAACTTTGGTGGCCTCACATTCGAGTCTGAGGAATACTTTCAACATAGCGGATTAGCTATGGGTTCACCTCTTAGTCCGGTTGCAGCGTGCCTGTACTTAGAGTGGCTAGAGAAACATCGTTACCAGAGTATTATGGGGGACAACGTAGTCTGGGTAAGATATGTTGATGATGTTCTGGTTGTTGCTCCAAGTGACATGGACTTAAACGTAAAACTAGATGAGCTTAACGCAGTAGATCCAAAGATCCAATTTACTATTGAACATGAAAAGCAAGGTAGAATCCCCTTCTTAGACACTGAAATAGAAAGGACAGGAGACTGCCTAAAATTCAAAGTTTACAGAAAACCAACGAACAAAGAAGATTACATTCATTTTTATTCAGGACACAGTGATAGAGTCAAACGGGGAGTAGTTTTAGGTTTCTTTCTTAGGGCCTATCGCATATGTAGCGAAGAGTATCTGGAGCAGGAAGTCCAACATGTCTTAGATTCTTTTATTAGACTGAAGTTCCCTAAGGGCCTTCTTTTAAATCTGAAAAGGAAGGCAATGGAGATCCGAAATAGAGCAGAGACCGAACGACAGCGAAAGAAAAACGAACGTTACATTACCATACCGAATTCGAAGCTAGCGAACGTAGTAGCCAAGCGAATCGAGACGACGGGCGCGCGCACAGCTGTGACATCTGGTCGAAAAATAGGCGAGATGATACGAAAGAAAGAAAAGAAAGACAAGTCAGATAAGAGTGTAGTATATAGTGTACCGTGCGGGATTTGTGAAAAGGCATACATAGGAGAAACAGGCAGGGGAGCAAAAACTAGACTGAAGGAGCACAAACGAGATTTTCGTAACTTTATGGAACATAGCGCTTTTGTGGCTCATGCGAACAAAACGGGACATTTACCGAACTGGGAAGGGACAGAAATTATAGCTTCATGCTCTTCAAAAGCGATTAGAAAAGCAACCGAAGCAGCGTACATCGCAACTAACGAAACGATCAACACGAACGGTGGGTTTATAAAATGGGCGAAATCTGCAGCACAATTGAGCATCATTGATCTAGATAAAAATTAAAAATGGAGAGAGAGAGAGAGAGAGAGAGAGAGAGAGAGAGAGAGAGAGAGAGAGAGAGAGAGAGAGAGAGAGAGAGAGAGAGAGAGAGAGAGAGAGAGAGAGAGAGAGAGAGAGAGAGTGAGAGAGAGAAACATAGTATATGCACCGTCAATTGATTTAATACTATTTAGCTATTGTAATATCATGTTCCGAATAGATTGTTACATGTTCACGAAAATATGTATGATTTCGTTTTATTTAGGAGGTACCCGACTACTCTGACCTTGTTCTCAGAAATACGTGCTATTTATTTCAAACGATTGATGTGCTCGTTTTCTTGTTCCTTGTTTCATACAACGGCGCTGAAGAAGTCTAATAGACGAAACCGGTACGCCTTTAATGTAACTGTTTTAATTGTTTGATTCGTGGAGCCTGGAGGTTCATGTACTCTCGATGCAAGTGTTCACCAAATAATCTTGCACTTCAGTGCCTTTTTGTCGACCTTAGCTCTCTGAACGTAGGCGCTGAGTTGTCTGTGTTACATGAGTGTCCTCTGTTTTCAGGCCAGTGACCAGGACCACGGCGACAACGTCACTTTCCACCTCAACTCGAGCAGCACCGACGTGCAGACGACGTTCAGCGTGGAGCCGCTGACCGGGGAGGTGAGGGGCAGGCGAAAACGGTCGTCCAGCGAGTAGCGACCTCTGATAATGATCGAATAACGACCCCTTATGAGCTACTTTACCATATAAGCTAGTGTTACAGAGGGCATTTCAACCCTCGTAGAATTTAATCTCATCTGCTTGATATTCTATAAAATATCGCAGTGCTTCAATATCACCCATAAATTCGTTAAATCCAGTTGGTGTGTGTATGACTCGATATATTTATATCGTAAGTAATCAAACTGGTAATGGGATTCTAACTCTAGCTGGGATCTCGTAGATAGGTAGGTATGCCATGCTGACCATACCACGACCACCGCAGGTCCGCCTGTTGCGTCGTGCGGACGTCTCCACCCAGCGACTGCACCGTCTGGGACTGGTGGCCCGTGACACTGCCAACCACTCCGACTCTGTCACTCTGCTGGTAAGTACGGACTCTGCTGGTGGCCCGGGACGCCGCTAACCACACACACTCCGTCACTCTGCTGGTAAGTACGGACTCTACTGGTAAGTACGGACTCTGCTGGTAAGTGCGGACGCTGTCACTCTGCTGGTAAGTACGGACTCTGCTGGTGAGTACGGACTCTGCTGGTGAGTACGGACTCTGCTGGTGGCCCGGGACGCCGCCAACCACACACACTCCGTCACTCTGCTGGTGAGTACGGACTCTACTGGTGGCCCGGGACGCCGCCAACCACACAGACGCCGTCACTCTGCTGGTAAGTGCGGACTCTACTGGTAAATACGGACTCTACTGGTAAGTACCGACTCTGCTGGTGGCCCGGGACGCCGCCAACCACACACACTCCGTCACTCTGCTGGTAAGTACGGACTCTACTGGTAAGTACGGACTCTGCTGGTAAGTGCGGACGCTGTCACTCTGCTGGTAAGTACGGACTCTGCTGGTGAGTACGGACTCTACTGGTGGCCCGGGACGCCGCCAACCACACAGACGCCGTCACTCTGCTGGTAAGTAAGGACTCTGCTGGTAAGCACGGACTCCATCAACTGCTGGTAGGTCGTCTTTGTCATCGTTATGATCGTCAGGTGGAGGTGGTCTGCTGAGAACATGGGCTGTAATGTAGGGGCTGATTTATCAGATGAAACGCGAAAACCGTAAAACGAACCGGCTTAATAAACCGAGGCTATTTCACACTACATTTATAGGCAGCCAGGCTGTCTAGCCCTCACACTAGCCTTCAAAAGAACGAAACGAGCTGTGTTTGCGTTCGTGTGTGCTCACTGCTCAGTTATACGTTGCGTTATTACGTTTCACGTTCGTGTGTGATCGCTGTCCAGTTACACGTTACGTTTCACGTTTTTGTGCACTCAGGTGTACGTGCTGGACTCGCGGGACATGCTGGTGGTGAAGCTGAACAGGACGGCCGCGCACGTGCAGCAGCACCGGCTCTCCATAGCCAGGTGGGCCACTTTGACGGTAACGTGGTGATCTGCGTGACGTGATGGGCTGCGGCCGTTAGGCGCCATCCTCTCAAGCCTCAAAGTTGAGTTTGAGCACTTGCCATTAGAGGATGGTGCTGATTGAAACAAACCAATGCTGACGAAAATATCCGCCCAATAGCTTATTAGGTTATGCATAGGTTATGCAATAGCTTATTAGGTTAGGTTATTAGGTTATGCCTATGTTATGCACGCAGCACGCCGACGTCCGCGTACTGCGTGTCTCCCCACTGCTGGTGTCTGACTGTAGGTATCTCCTGTACAGAGGTCTCAGTACATTGGCCGCCGCCGACGTCCGCGTGCTGCGCGTGTCTCCCCACTCTGACGGAGAGCTGGTGGACGACTCTCACTCGGACGTCTGGCTGTATGCGCTCGAGCCGGCCACCAGCACTCTGCTGAGCGCTCAGCAACTGATGGCGTGAGTACTGAGTACCACACTGCTGACAGTACACCGCACCGCTGGAACCGGCCACCAGCACACTGCTGAGTGCACAACAGCTGATGGCGTGAGTACTACACTGCTGACGGTACACTGCTGACAGTACACTTCTGGAGCCGGCCACCAGCACTCTGCTGAGCGCCCAGCAACTCATGGCGTGAGTGCATAATGCATTGATGACCGGTGAGTGTTAACGGATAAGCCACGGCATTGTCTCCTTCTGACCCCACTGTTATCACCTCGCTGACCCCTGCCAGTGTACCGCTGACCCGCCCCTGCCGGTTACAGCCGCCTGGAGAGCGCCGCGCCCGAGGTGTCGGGCGGCTCCCAGCCGGGGGTGCACGTGGCAGGGATGTGGCCCGCCACCGAACCGCCGCGAGGCTTTTTCACTAACCTCAAGTTCATCATCGTGGGCCTGTCGCTGGCCATCTTCCTGCTGATGGTCGCCACACTGGCGGTGCTCTGCTCCAAGAGCTGCAAACGGTCAGTGATGCACAGTCACACATAATGGGTGTATGGAGGTATCACACTGGCAGTGTCCTGCTTGTCGCTAATGTACGTACATTAAGCAAACATTGTCCCTGGACTGCCTGCGTCCAGCGCGGCGTCTCTGAAGGTCTCTCGGTCCCGGCTCCCTCCGCGTTTGTGTCTCTGACGGTCCGTGTGACCCGTGTCCGCTCCAGTGACCGCAAGACGTCGCCGTACCCGCCGCTGACGCTGACGCCGGCCGCCAGCGGCTACAGCGGCACCCCGCCGCCCAGTGACGTCACTCAGATGACGTCACACCAGCCGAGGGAGATGGTCGAGCGGCGCCGCAGTCCGCCGGCCCAGCGGGCGCCCGGAGCCCCCCTGGGTCTGGTCCTGGAGCCGCCCCTGTACAGGTCAGTGACAGGTCACAGACAGCCCCCCTGGGACTGGTCCTGGAGCCGCCCCTGTACAGGTCAGTGACGGTCACAGGCAGACCCCTTGGGACTGGTTCTGGAGACGCCCCTGTACAGGTCAGTGAGTCAGTGACGGGTCACAGGTCACAGCAGACAGACCCCCTGGGACTGGTCCTGGAGCCGCCCCTGTACAGGTCAGTGACAGGTCACAGACAGCCCCCCTGGGTCTGGTCCTGGAGCCGCCCCTGTACAGGTCAGTGACAGGTCACAGACAGCCCCCCTGGGACTGGTCCTGGAGCCGCCCCTGTACAGGTCAGTGACAGGTCACAGGTCACAGACAGACCCCCGGGACTGGTCCTGGAGCCGCCCCTGTACAGGTCAGTGACGGGTCACAGACAGCCCCCCTGGGACTGGTCCTGGAGCCGCCCCTGTACAGGTCAGTCACGGGTCACAGGTCACATAGACAGACGCCTTGGGACTGGTCTTGGAGCCGCCTCTGTACGGGTTATTGCAATCGAAGGGCTTGTCTTCTGATGCGTAATAATATCGTGCTGCGGTGGTGCAACGGAAAGAGCTTAGCTACGAGATAAAACGATAAACTGAAACGAAGAAAAGTTTTTTGTAAAAGAGAGCATCTGCTGACTAATGCATCATTTCATTCGAAGAAATCGACTCTTGTAAGTCGTAACTCGGTGTAAACTAAGTGTGGCCAGTGGCCATCACGTGTTGGTTTCTGAGTTGACGTGGCCCCGTCGCCCGTTTTCAGTAAGCCGTCCCGCCGGCTGGCCGCCACCCAGGTCTCGCCGGGCCACTATGTGGCCGACCCCAAGCAGATGTCGCAGACCGTGGCGCGCCGGCGCCGTGACCCCGGTCAGGGTCAAGGTCAGGGCGTCTCGCACGTGCGCTACGGCAGCCTCAACTACCCGCGCGCCGGCCGGGCGGCCAATCAGCTGGCGGCCCTGCTGACGCCCGAGCGGCCATTGGCCGGCGCCAACGTGCGCCGCCAGTCGGTGACCAATAGCATGGGCGACGGCACCGAGGTGGGCGTGGCCACGATGAGCTTCTACAGCGAGTCGCCGTCCGACATGCCGCCCGTCGACTTCGGCCCCGGGTGAGAGCGGCGGGGCGGGACAGAGGGAAGGGAGCGGGTGAGAGCGGCAGAGCACGACAGAGGGAAGGGAGCGGGTGAGGGCGGCGGGACGGGACAGAGGGCTGGGGACGGGGCATTCATGGGACAGAATCACAGGAGCGATGTTCGGACTACCTGGCTTCATGGGACAGGTGAAGTTGGGGTGTATGTCGTCCAACTCTATTTCGGGAAACGAACCTTCCTGAAGAACAATATGCATGTATCCATTGCGTTAACACTGAGTTCAGGCTACGAGTGTTGGATGCGGCGCGGCTAAGAAGGAGTGCCTTTCGCACGATATAGAGGTAGTTAATGTGCACTGAGGTAATGCCTGTGACCCGTTTCTGTGCGCCAGGTTCCGTCTGCGGCTGGACCCCTCTGTGACGTCACCGCCGCGACCCGGCGACGAGCGGCGCTTCGCCGACCCGTCGGCCGCGCACCCAGAGACATCTACACTGTAAAAAAAGTTTAGCATTTGGGGTACTAACGGCTGCTATTCGTAGCACCTTTTAGCGTCAAAAGAACCCTACTACGTATTTACAAAGAAGCATGGTGCTAATACTGTGCTAATGATAGCTAACATTCCCATCAAATATTATAAGTTTAGATCACATATTCTTCTACTGAGCTTAACGTCTACTTCTGCTAGTACCCAGTCCATCAGTGAGTGCTCTTTCAAGCTGGATTTCTAATTAGAACCATTTTAAGTGTTTTAGAAGTTGGTAATGCTGAATATGGTGCTTACGTTAGTATCACAATAGAACCGGACATGCTTACAGAGGAAACAAATTTGAAATTGGCGCCAAAGAAAGTAGCTAAGCCCTGCTTTACAAATCTCTGGGAGTCTTATCACCAGCCCTTTAGCACGTTTTGACGGCGCAGAGCGATATGCGCATGCGCGTGCCAGCTGTTTCCGGCCACGTGTTGCGCCATTTTAGTGGAGTCCGTTGGTCGTGGTGGGAGTGTGTGCACGTGCTCCGGTATATGAAGTGAAATGAAGTGAAGTGAAGTGCTCCGGGCACATGCCACCGAGTGATAGCTCTGGAATGATAGCTTAAATCAGCTATTATCGGTGGAATCCCTCGTGCGTGGCTGCATGGGAGTGCGTGCCCCTGCTCCGGGAGGCAGTGAGGTGGAGGGAAGTGCAGTGCAGCAGTGCAGTGAAGTGAAGTGAAGTGCTCCGGGGCCGGGTGGTACATGAGCATTTGCCACCGACACATGCCACCGACACCGACGTTGATCGACTTTGGTGAGTCTGACACGTTGTATCTTTTGACATTATCTTATATTGTTTAAGTGCTTCATATTCCGACTTTGGCAAATCGCGCTTCTTGGTCTGAAGGAAAGTTGTGTTGTTTGCGAAAATAGCTCCCAACAGAAAAAAATCTTGGAACTGATCCAGTTTTTTTTTTTTTGCTCCAGGCATGGGGCCTGGTCAGTTCTTCCGTCGACTACCACTTACAATGGAGGACAACTACGACATGACAACACGGGGTCTCCGGTTCCGTCTATCACTAAACGCCGTCTGGTGGTGGATGAGGTCGAACTTATGGCCATGAACGGAACGTTGGTTCAACGCCCCCCCCCCCCGCCTCCCCCAGTCGATCTCGCGTTAATCGTCGGTCACTGCGAGTGTGCAGGTATATGAGCGACCTTTCGTTATTTCCCGTGCGTTTGTTTGTGTATATATTTACATTTGTTTTTCATGCAGATGATATGAAGTGTTAATAAATGTTCCATTATTATTTTTCAATTTTATAATGTGTTGGATGCTTGAAAGATGCACTTACACGGGAAAATTGCAGAATGCAAAACACACTCATTGAGACTTGTAGTTATCACTTATCTAGGATATAACCTTTTTTGCACGTCTTTTCGGCATTACACAATTTCCTTTTTGGTAATTGATTAGTCCTTTTTGCAGTAACTAGTGAAAGTATGTGCTGCTAAAGAAAGCAGTTTTTGCGAACTTTTCATGCAGCAGCTTTAACTAGTATAGATATTCTACTTTCAGCCCCAATGCTTTCGTTAGCATTATTCTACTTGTCGTGGGGTAACAATAGCGCTAAAACGGTTCATATGTGAGTACGGAAGGTACTAACTGCATGCCATTCTTAGCACCTTTTAAAGTTTAGCACCGCTAGGGTACTGAAAATTGGTCTAGCAGGTGTAGGGTACTACATTTAGTACACGGGTGCTAAACAAATATGGGTACTTATATTAGCACCTTGATACTAAACTAGATCTCAGTTAAGTACGAATAAAATGCATAGCTTAGCACCGCTAGGGTACTGAAAATTAGTCAATTGAAAAGTACCTCTATGGTGCTAAACTTTTTTTACAGTGTACCGGCCACCTGCGAACTAACAGTTCGGACGCCCGCGGTGAGGAGTTTCTGGACTCTCTGGAGCCAGGGCAGTTCCCGCGCACCTGGTCCGTCAAACAGTGAGCGAAACGGTGACCGAACAGGGACTGTGACAGTGATCGAAACAAGGACCGAACAGGGGCCGAAACAGGGACCAAACAGTGACGGAAACTGAGCGAAACAGTGACCGATACAGGGACCGAAACAATGACGGAAACAGTAACCGAAACAGTGGCGGAAACAGTAACCGAAACAGTGGCCGAAACAGTGACCGATACGGGGGCCGAAACAGGAACCGAAACAGTGAGCGAGACAGAAGGGAGTGCTGGGACACGGACAGTGCCAGTGATATGGGATCAAACTGCAGTGAACCTGTGACCGGCCGTCTGTTCCAGCGAGCTATGTGTGACCGTGCGAGTGAACCTTTCTTGTGTGAGAGAGATGTCCTTAAGTTTGTAAAGGACATGCACAAAAACTATTCCACGCCAAACCAAAACGCTCAGAAAGCGAAGGTTGCATAACACAGCGATGTAAAGATGGATAACCGTGACGCCGTGGGCAAATACTGGTGCGACGTCCGACGCTTAGACGTCGAGATGAGCGGCCACAAAGTCATGTGTAAATAACAAAGTGTTTACAAACTGATGATATTGTATCGTCTGCCACATCAAGCACCAATGAAGCCCGGATGACAGGTCAATAACACAGTCACCGGCTGAAGACGAAAAACAGCATCACCGTCTCGTTCTCAGCTTTCAGTAAATGTATGTGCAAATCAGAAGCAGTTTGGGGAAATTCCGCTGTTTTAATTCATCGATGGAAATCGTAGGTGTAGGTATGGTATTGATGCATTGGATAATAGAACTTCAGAAAACAGAATTTATAATTTTCGACACCCATTAGCAGACAGTGATGTTTCCATAAGCTGGCGATACTATTGATACGCGATCGACTCACGACTGATCCGTTTAAATCAACTGAAACGTGTGGCTTTGGATGAGCAGAATAGGTCGGTGGGGGCGTTGCCGTGGGGCATGATTCTCATGTCTCTGAGTCACGGCTCAGTTTAGATCGATGTTCGTGCCGTCAACCGAACCACCCATGCTAAAGCTGCGACAATACAGCCGCCGACTCCCAGCACTACTGGGTGGGTAGACTGCGCCGCAAAACACCGCGTGGCGGCGGCACAGTCTACCTACCGCCTCCGCGCGGGACGCGAGTGTGACAGACGCCTGTATCGCACCGGCACAGACATTGCTTTGGAAAAACATTTGCTCGGACCAGAAATGACAGTTAACGAGAGTCAAGAGACATCTAACCACACATTTAAATACATGAAGGAAATTGAGGGAACGAAACCCATTTTAGTTCTGATCGTGAGGTTCACGTTCTGCTTGAGATCAGCTGCTCAGTGAAATCGGAACCCGAAATCTGACCCCCACGACGCTCGTCGTCCTTGCATAAAATAAATATCACATTTTCCTGAATGTATTAAAAGCGTTCAGAACACAAAGTCACGTTTGTCCGATGAAGTCAAAATCGCATGACAAACGTCGAAAGGTGCTGGCGGAAAAAGACAGGACAGACAACACACCCATACCAAAATAAGCAAATCCCAGTCTCTAAAACCTAATAAAAGACCTAATATGATCCTAATATGATCCACACATTACCAACAAGCCAGTTACTATTCTAGATAAAATGGAAGCCCGACGATAAATAAAACAGACACACAGAGAATGAACTATGAAGGGAAAATAATGGACACCGGATGCGGACGGTTCAGAGGAGCAGCTGATAGACAACTCACGTGGCGAACACTGAACCATCCGTCTCGCAAAGGAACGCGCCGCTCCACTATCTTCTGCGCTTATCTGAGGCAGACAGCGCCAAGAACACGAGCGGGGGCGAGTTGAGCCGCACAAAGTACCGGGCTGAGCGCAGAGTCAGCCGACCCGTGCAGGTCAATCGCGGCATTCGAATACGTTCCTAGTGGGCCCGTCACTGACTCCCGGGCAGCTCCCGTCGGGGGGAGCCGCCCAGTGTCAGCCCCTGTGGGAGGCCCTAGAAGCCGGGCGGGTAGCGGTGTCGCTCGCCGCCGGGAGGAGGCGGCTGATGGAGCTGCTCGGGCAGCCCGGGCTCCGGCTGCTCCGGACTGCGGGCTCTCAGAACAGGGCGGCCCAGGAAGCGCTGCCGGAGCTGCTGCTGCTGCTGCTGGAAGGCCGCCTGGTCAGCCGCCGGCTGCCGGGGGTCCGGAGAATGTCGCCATGGCTGCTGGAACTCTGGCTGCAGAGGCTGCTGGAACTCGGCCTGCAGAGGCTGCTGGAACTCGGCCTGCAGAGGCTGCTGGAACTCGGCCTGCAGAGGCTGCTGGAACTCGGGACGCGGCGCCTGCTGGAACTCCGGCTGTGGTAGCTGCTGCGGCGGCGGTGTCCTCCACAGCTGATGATCCACGCCGCCCCAGGCGCCCTCCGGTAGCTGCTGTTGCTGCTGGTATGGCTGCTGCTGCTGCCGGTATAGCTGCTGCTGCTGCTGATGGTGGTGCGGCGGCGGCGGCAGCCGGTTGGCCGCCAGCTGCAGCGCACCCTGACGCAGCGCCTCCTCCCGCCACAGCTCCTCCCGGCGCCTCTGTTCGCTGAGGAGTACTGCGCGCTGCCGCCTCCGCTCGATCTCCCGCTCCATGGCCTCCGGGCCTCCGGGCCGAAAGTCGGGTCCCTGCTGAAAGACTTGCTGCTGCTGCTGCTCTTGTAAGCGCTGCTGCTCTTGGAAACGCCGCTGCTCTTGGAAGGCGTGCTGTTGCTCCAGAGCCTGCATCTGCTGTAAGTGAATCTGTTGCTCCCGCTGTATCTGTGCCTGGGCCTGCTGTTCTGGGAGCTGCAGCTCGCGGTGCAGCTGCTCGTTCAGCTGCAGCTGTCTGCGCAGCAGCTGCTGCTCCTCCTGCAGCTGCCGCCGGCGCTGCTCCTCGTAGAGTAGCTGCTCGCTGCGCCGCTCCTCCGGCTGCGACCCGCGCCGCAGCGCGTACGCGGCCAGGTCGTGCTGCATGCTGTTCACCTGGTGTTTCTGGTTCTCCTCGGTTAGTGACCGCAGCTGCCCCGCCGGCCGCTGCTCCTCGGCCGGCGGCGGGTCCGGGCGCCGCGCGGGCCGCTGGATGGGCGCCGGCAGCGCGGCCCGGCCCGGCAGCGGCCACGGGTCCTCCTGTCGGGGCTCCTCCCGGTCGCCGCCCCAGGGCCGGGGCGTGCCGGTCTGCCCTGCTGGCCTCTGACCGACAGCGCCGAACGGCGAGGGTTCGCTGCGCGGCGGCGGCTGCTCGGCCGCCGGCGGGCCGCGGCCCAGGTCCAGCAGGCCCAGGTCCACCACAAAGGCCGGACGTTTGGGCGGCGACGGAGACGACTCCCTGACCTCGGTGGCCGGGTCGGGCGAGGGCGACTCGGTCGGCTGTCGGAGGCCGGCGCTCAGCGTCCGTTTGGGCGGGCGGCTCCTGTGCTCGGTCTGTGCGGCCGGCGACCGCTCGTAGATCCACTCGTACAGCGAGACTGGGCTGGTCGGGGAGGGTGTCCGCTCCTCCCGGCGGTCCAGACTCGCCGCGCGGGCTGGCTATTCAGCTGCCCCTCTGGGTCCGTCCTGCAGCCCGGAGAGGGAGACCGTGATTTAGACATTTAGATAAACATTTAGACCGTTAGTAATTAACGCGAAGAAGTTTTCTGCAAAAAAAGAGAACATTTAGCCGATCCTTATTCAGCCCAGGCAACCAAAATGTCTAAGAGCTCCTATGTCTAGAAATGTCTCCTCAGAAATGTCTGAGAGCCTAAGGTCAAAACGATATTACCGAGCTAGTTTTGAACATTATTTAATGCTAGGTATGTTTTTTTTGTTATCGCAAGTGGGCTAATTCCATGAAGAAAAAGTAAGTGGCATTCTACGCTAAAAGACATCGTAAGTAACGACAATTTGCGTTGCACCTTCACTTAACCCTCGCATTTGTAGTAATAAATGGACAAGTATTGCATCGAGAGTACATGAACCTCCAGGCTCCACGAATCAAACAATTAAAACAGTTACATTAAAGGCGTACCGGTTTCGTCTATTAGACTTCTTCAGCGCCGTTGTATGAAACAAGGAACAAGAAAACGAGCACATCAATCGTTTGAAATAAATAGCACGTATTTCTGAGAACAAGGTCAGAGTAGTCGGGTACCTCCTAAATAAAACGAAATCATACATATTTTCGTGAACATGTAACAATCTATTCGGAACATGATATTGCAATAGCTAAATAGTATTAAATCAATTGACGGTGCATATAATATGTTTCTCTCTCTCTCACTCTCTCTCTCTCTCTCTCTCTCTCTCTCTCCTCTCTCTCTCTCTCTCTCTCTCTCTCTCTCTCTCTCTCTCTCTCTCTCTCTCTCTCATTTTTAATTTTTATCTAGATCAATGATGCTCAATTGTGCTGCAGATTTCGCCCATTTTATAAACCCACCGTTCGTGTTGATCGTTTCGTTAGTTGCGATGTACGCTGCTTCGGTTGCTTTTCTAATCGCTTTTGAAGAGCATGAAGCTATAATTTCTGTCCCCTCCCAGTTCGGTAAATGTCCCGTTTTGTTCGCATGAGCCACAAAAGCGCTATGTTCCATAAAGTTACGAAAATCTCGTTTGTGCTCCTTCAGTCTAGTTTTTGCTCCCCTGCCTGTTTCTCCTATGTATGCCTTTTCACAAATCCCGCACGGTACCCTATATACTACACTCTTATCTGACTTGTCTTTCTTTTCTTTCTTTCGTATCATCTCACCTATTTTTCGACCAGATGTCACAGCTGTGCGCGCGCCCGTCGTCTCAATTCGCTTGGCTACTACGTTCGCTAGCTTCGAATTCGGCATGGTAATGTAACGCTCGTTTTTCTTTCGCTGTCGTTCGGTCTCTGCTCTATTTCGGATCTCCATTGCCTTCCTTTTCAGATTTAAAAGAAGGCCCTTAGGGAACTTCAGTCTAATAAAAGAATCTAAGACATGTTGGATTTCCTGCTCCAGATACTCTTCGCTACATATGCGATAGGCCCTAAGAAAGAAACCTAAAACTACTCCCCGTTTGACTCTATCACTGTGTCCTGAATAAAAATGAATGTAATCTTCTTTGTTCGTTGGTTTTCTGTAAACTTTGAATTTTAGGCAGTCTCCTGTCCTTTCTATTTCAGTGTCTAAGAAGGGGATTCTACCTTGCTTTTCATGTTCAATAGTAAATTGGATCTTTGGATCTACTGCGTTAAGCTCATCTAGTTTTACGTTTAAGTCCATGTCACTTGGAGCAACAACCAGAACATCATCAACATATCTTACCCAGACTACGTTGTCCCCCATAATACTCTGGTAACGATGTTTCTCTAGCCACTCTAAGTACAGGCACGCTGCAACCGGACTAAGAGGTGAACCCATGGCTAATCCGCTATGTTGAAAGTATTCCTCAGACTCGAATGTGAGGCCACCAAAGTTCATGCAAAGTGCGATAAGTTTAAGATAGTCTGATTTGGCTAGTGGTAACTGATCTGGGTCCATGTTCCTTACCACCCCTTCAAAGGGGAAGAAACTACTTCATCTTTTGGAAGAAGCTCCCGGTGCCCCAAAGCTAAGAGGTCTTCCGAAACTACACAAAGCCGAGGTACCGGTGCGCCCTATCACGTCGGGCATAGGCAGCGCTCCCCACCGACTTGCCAAGGTACTGGCCAGACCTCTCTCTAGCAATTTAGGCGCTATAAGTGACAGCCACATTAAGAATAGTGCCGAGCTGATGGAGATTCTCCGCCCTATAGACATGTCGGGAAAGTGCTTAGCCAGCTTCGATGTCAAATCCTTGTTTACGAATGTCCCCATTGACGGTGCATTTAAAGTCATTGAAGGGGTGGTAAGGAACATGGACCCAGATCAGTTACCACTAGCCAAATCAGACTATCTTAAACTTATCGCACTTTGCATGAACTTTGGTGGCCTCACATTCGAGTCTGAGGAATACTTTCAACATAGCGGATTAGCCATGGGTTCACCTCTTAGTCCGGTTGCAGCGTGCCTGTACTTAGAGTGGCTAGAGAAACATCGTTACCAGAGTATTATGGGGGACAACGTAGTCTGGGTAAGATATGTTGATGATGTTCTGGTTGTTGCTCCAAGTGACATGGACTTAAACGTAAAACTAGATGAGCTTAACGCAGTAGATCCAAAGATCCAATTTACTATTGAACATGAAAAGCAAGGTAGAATCCCCTTCTTAGACACTGAAATAGAAAGGACAGGAGACTGCCTAAAATTCAAAGTTTACAGAAAACCAACGAACAAAGAAGATTACATTCATTTTTATTCAGGACACAGTGATAGAGTCAAACGGGGAGTAGTTTTAGGTTTCTTTCTTAGGGCCTATCGCATATGTAGCGAAGAGTATCTGGAGCAGGAAATCCAACATGTCTTAGATTCTTTTATTAGACTGAAGTTCCCTAAGGGCCTTCTTTTAAATCTGAAAAGGAAGGCAATGGAGATCCGAAATAGAGCAGAGACCGAACGACAGCGAAAGAAAAACGAGCGTTACATTACCATGCCGAATTCGAAGCTAGCGAACGTAGTAGCCAAGCGAATTGAGACGACGGGCGCGCGCACAGCTGTGACATCTGGTCGAAAAATAGGTGAGATGATACGAAAGAAAGAAAAGAAAGACAAGTCAGATAAGAGTGTAGTATATAGGGTACCGTGCGGGATTTGTGAAAAGGCATACATAGGAGAAACAGGCAGGGGAGCAAAAACTAGACTGAAGGAGCACAAACGAGATTTTCGTAACTTTATGGAACATAGCGCTTTTGTGGCTCATGCGAACAAAACGGGACATTTACCGAACTGGGAGGGGACAGAAATTATAGCTTCATGCTCTTCAAAAGCGATTAGAAAAGCAACCGAAGCAGCGTACATCGCAACTAACGAAACGATCAACACGAACGGTGGGTTTATAAAATGGGCGAAATCTGCAGCACAATTGAGCATCATTGATCTAGATAAAAATTAAAAATGAGAGAGAGAGAGAGAGAGAGAGAGAGAGAGAGAGAGAGAGAGAGAGAGAGAGAGAGAGAGAGAGAGAGAGAGAGAGAGACAGAGAGACAGAGAGACAGAGAGAGAGAGAGAGAGAGAGAGAGAGAGAGAGAGAGAGAGAGAGAGAGAGAGAGAGAGAGAGAGAGAGAGAGAGAGAGAGAGAGAGAGAGAGAGAGAGAGAGAGAGAGAGAGAGAGAGAGAGAGAGAGAGAGAGAGAGAGAGAGAGAGAGAGAGAGAGAGAGAGAGAGAGAGAGAGAGAGAGAGAGAGAGAGAGAGAGAGAGAGAGAGAGAGAGAGAGAGAGAGAGAGAGAGAGAGAGAGAGAGAGAGAGAGAGAGAGAGAGAGAGAGAGAGAGAGAGAGAGAGAGAGAGAGAGAGAGAGAGAGAGAGAGAGAGAGAGAGAGAGTGAGAGAGAGAGAGAAACATATTATATGCACCGTCAATTGATTTAATACTATTTAGCTATTGTAATATCATGTTCCGAATAGATTGTTACATGTTCACGAAAATATGTATGATTTCGTTTTATTTAGGAGGTACCCGACTACTCTGACCTTGTTCTCAGAAATACGTGCTATTTATTTCAAACGATTGATGTGCTCGTTTTCTTGTTCCTTGTTTCATACAACAGCGCTGAAGAAGTCTAATAGACGAAACCGGTACGCCTTTAATGTAACTGTTTTAATTGTTTGATTCGTGGAGCCTGGAGGTTCATGTACTCTCGATGCAACCCTCGCATGTGTAGGGGGGGGGGGTCGGATGGACCCCCCCATGGTTTTTCGCGAATAACTCGCGTAAAAAGCGGTCGATCGCGACGAAACTTTCAGTACCCTCGCATTGATCAATTTTACACCTACTCTGAAAATTTCATGACCCTGACCCAAATGACCTTTGACCTGTGACCTCTTTTCCGAGACCATGTTTGGCCGGAATCGCGATTTCGCGTATGTCGGCTGGCACTAGCCGCGTGTTTGCAAGCTTTTCGTGGTTTCAAACGTTCAAACATGTGATTTGATGTTACTCCCGTGTGTGTCAAGGTCACCTGAAGGTCAGGTCAGGTCATTGACCTTTGGTGACCTCGGGTGACCTCGGGTCACTTTTTCGAGTTTTACATGTTTCTAGGCTAGTTTTTGGAGCTGAATTCGAATTTAGCAACCATTTGAACATTTACGAAGTAGTTTTGGTGACTTCGTAACATGTTACGAAGCTGTCAGAGGCGGTTGACACGTATTACGAATACCCGTCACGACGCCTACTGGATGACCTGACCTGACCTGACCCGACCTGGTCTAAATGCTTCAAGACATCATCTGTGATCAACACTAACACGATATTCGTGATCAGCACCCCGAAAAACCCCTTAGCAGCCACACTTTACGACTTTCTAACAGGTCCCGATTTTCCCGACTTTGGGTCATTGACCTGACCTGGAAGGTCAACCAATGACCTAGGACCTTAAAATTGGATATCATCGGCTTCCTCTCGTCACGGGCAACACGCTCGTTTTTTCCGCGAAGCTCTAGCTCGATCAGGGGCCAAACGGCAAGGGGGGGGGTCCAACTGACCCCCCCCCCTACACATTAGAAGCTGGCAAACGCCGCACACATGCGAGGGTTAAGTAGTCCTTGTAGCCAACTTACCCTGTGAGTGTCTTTACGGGTAGTGCTCTCGCTGTCTGTCCCTAGAACTGCTTCCATCGATCCCTCCCCCATCATCTTCCGCTTCACCTCCTGGGCGCGCGTCCACGACATGGCCAGGAAGCGGTACTGGGCGAACAGGAAGGCGCCCTTGGCTCCCTCCACCTCCTCGTCCTTGAGCTTCTCGTAGTCGTGTTTGATGACCTTCAGCAGACCGTGGTACCTGGAGCAGGCGGGCGAGGTCGGAACAGAGCGACACTTTGACGACGACAAACGTCTACAAAGTACGACTAAATGAGCGATAAACAGTTATCCGACGACGTGACGTCACAATGAAATCAAACTAAAAAACGGCCTATAATTCCTGACGGTTAAGCTGAGAGCAGCTTTCCTTTCACTACCATGAAAAATGGCTTCGACTGAGCAGTAAGGCACCTGATGCAAACAGTTGAGACAGTGTTCTTGTCTCCCGCCCGTCACGGATCACTCATTGATAGATTCAGTTGTGACTTAAGGGCGCCCGGACTTCAGATGTCATCGGTGCCATAACGTCCGGCCATTAAAACGAACGAACAGTGTGAAATGTGTTGCGACCAACTCACTCGTCGAGCCACCGTAGGTCGGACAGCAGCTCCTGCGGCCAGTGGTGGTAGCGCGCCATGGCGCCCGGATCGGTGCCGCTGAAGCCCGGGTAGCAGGGCAGCGGCTCGCCCCGGCGGCCCACGCCGGCCGGCGCGCCGTCAAAGAACAGCGCCAGCTCGGCTGGCTCGACGGACGGCGGCGGCCAGACCGGCTCCCGGCCGGCGGGAGGAGCCGCCGCCGCCGCCGCCGCCGGCTCCGTCACCGGCTCCGGAGTCGGCTCCCGAGCCCCGTCCCCGCCAGCGCCGGCTACTGCTGGGGTCCTCTCCTCGCCAGCCCGGGCTGCCGCCGGGGTCCTCTGTTCGTCAGCGCGGATCGCTGCCGCCACCTCTTTGACTCCACGCACAGAAGGAGCGCTTGATGCTGATGCAGGCGGCCCTGAAACAGGAGAATGCTTCTTCAGCAAAATCGACCTTTTTAGCATAAGTGAGAATCAAAATGCTATAAAACTTTAATTATACGCAAGGTGCGAGTGCATTAAACAAACGAATAAACTTTAAATAAACGATCTCACTGTTTTGAAACAAAATACCGAAACCTCACATATTTAGATAATAATTGAAACGTGCTCGGCTCGTTAATTAGTTAAAATAAATATAGACCAGTTATAATATAGACCAGTTATAAATATAGTTAAAATATAAATATACGATAAAGCCGAGTTATATTTATATAGATAATAATTGATAAAAACGTTTAACAAGCAACATAAAAATGTAACCAAATCTGTCCAAAATAATTATATGTCACGTAGTTAGAGACCAGAATGTAAGCAAGGGTAAGTTGTTATCATCGCATGTCGCTGTCACAAGTTCGCTCGCATGTACGGGAGCCACAGTATGAAAACTTACCAGTTGGCGCTGCGACATCCTCCGGCACTGCGGGCCGCTCAGCCTGACAAACAATCATTAAAAGTTAAAACATGGTCTGCGTCGTCAAAACATGTCAAAAAAATCAAAGCGTTAAAGTCGACGTTTCACGCCTACAATAAGTTCAGTAAAAAAGTACAAACACTACCGGAACTAGGAAATTAGAATAACATTTTCGTTTGGTCATCCATTTAAATTGGCTCTGTCATTCCTAGGCACGAGGACCCACCTTTGGCGCGTCCCTCCCGGGTTCGGAGGGCCCTCCCTCCGCGCCATCTGCTGCTGCGGCGTTCACTGCTAGGCCGTCCGCTGCTGTCTCGCCTGCCGTCGGCGGCTCGGCAGAGGCGCCGGCCGGCCGGGCGGCTGACGCCGAGTGGCCGGGGATCCTCTCCGGGTTGGACACCCACTCGTACCTCCGCCGGAAGGGCTCGTAGGCCATCCTGGAGGGCAGAAGTTGGTTATGTCGATGGGGAACCATTCGTACCTTCAACACAGGCGTCGGGCCCTACTGATCGTAATAGTAAGCGTCAGAAAATGCGAAGAAAACGACATAGAAAGCAAGTAAAGCAGCAAAGCGAAGCATACACAACCTTTCCCCTTAGCCCATACAGCCACAGCCATCCCCTCCCCCCCCGTCCCACTCACCCGGGCGGCGCCTCCGGCTGGGAGGGTGTCAGGTCGCGCCGCGCCGCGCCCCGGCCGACAGAGGAGGCGGACGAGCCCCTGGAGCCGGCGCTGGACAGCGAGCGGCGCGCCGGCGAACTGTCTGAGGAGGCCGTCGACGCGCCGCGGCCGCCGGGAGCGCCCCTGCCGCGGCTCCAGCCGCCGCCGCGAGCAGACGGCCGGCCTCGGCCCGCCGCCGGCGGCGGCTGCTGTCTCTCCTGCTGTCTCTCATGGCGACCGTCCTGCGGCGGCGGCTGCAGCTGCGGCTGTGGCTGCGGCCGCTGCTGCTGGGCCTCCTTCGGCTGCGGCTGCTGCCTCTCCTGCTGTTTCTCCTGGCTAGCCTCCTGAGGCTGCGGCTGCTGTCCCTCCTGCTGTCCCTCCTGCGGCCGAGGCTGCCGCCGCTGTGACTGGTGGCTCTGCCCATGTCGGCGTCTCGAGGACTGGCCCTGCTGCTGCTGCTGTTGCTCTTGCTGTTGGTACCTCTGCTTCGTTGGAGATCCCGCCTGCGCAGAGGATTCGCTCTGCTGTTGCTGGTTCTTCTGCTTTTGAGGAGACTTCGCCTGCGCAGAGGGCTCACTCTGCTGTTGTTGGTTCTTCTGCTTTTGAGGAGACTTCGCCTGCGCAGACGTCTTACTCTGCTGTTGCTTGCCCTTCTGCTTTTGGGGAGGCATGGGCTCTGCAGGCGTCTGCCGACCTCCACCTGAGGTTGATTTGCTGGGCACGGCAGCTGCATGAGACGGTGACTTGCCAGCTGAGCTCCTGCGGGTTACAAATAGAGTAAGCACTGTTAAAATATACCGCAAGCATTGCCTCAGCTCTATGCATTTTCGATTCCGCCCGCTCAATGAAGCAGTCGGTACAGAAGAGCAGAAACAAATTTATTTTTTGGCTGCTGTAGAGCCTGGTGCTGAATAAATGACTATTGAACCGATTAACATAAGTCCTCTTTATACATAGTTGCAAGATTGTCATGCTAAGCTATGTTTATCAATATGATTGCACTCAATTGGTGTCTATGTTAGTGCTAGTTGTTAGGAACTCACTCTGGGTCAGTTTTGCGGGCAGAATCTTCGGCAGAAACACGCAGCGACCCTTCCTCATCTGGAAAAAAGTGATGTCGTTTTGCGTAGGATCGCAGAATACGTAACGTTCACCGTAACAACATACATTTTGCGGTCTTGACATTAATATTAAACAAGTTACGTGTTTCAAAATCGACAAAAGAGATACGAGTAGCTATTACAGTGAAGCACATCTGATCACCGATCACGTCTTATTTGACTTATTTGGCGACAGACGTCATAAGAGCCGGCGGTACTAACCGGGTGACTGGGAGCCCTGGCTGGCCGCGTCGTCCGAGTCCCGGCCTGCAGCAAAGGGGACACGCGATGATGTCGTTATACAGAAACATTGTGAAACGCCATACCATCTCATTCTATCATTTTTGTTGTTTTCAAGTAGGTAAGGTTATCGGGGTAAAATGTAACCGACACGGAATTGTTTGCCTCTCTGAAACCAGCATATTCATCATCCACCACCTCATTATTGAGAACATTGTGTTCTGACCTGCAGAGCTTGCCGCGGCGGTAGCCGATTTTCCTCCCTTTTTGTTCTTCTTCCGGTTCTTTTTCTTTCCGCCTCCGCCGCCCTTTTGTCCTCCTCCGGCGCCCTTTTGTCCTCCTCCCTCTGCCAGGAGGAGCTCCTCGAAGGCCTGCTGCGCGCGCTGCTCGGCCGCCTTTCTCTCGGCATCCGTCTGCCGCTGCTGCTGCTGCGCCTGACCGGGCCGCTTTTTGGTCTTACCGGCGGCGGCCATGGCGATGGCGCGGCATTTCTCCAGCCGAGCCACCTGGAACATCTGCCGCCACAGACAATCTTAGCGATGACAGATTACAGTAAAAGCACCAACGTGAATGGAACAGAAATTCAGCGACCAAAAAATAACACCACCGGGCATAGAGCAGTCAGCAACCTCGGACTGCGTTTTCCATTAGGCAATAATCTCGCTATATACCGTTAAATTTTTCCAGTTACGAGCTTCTGGTTACGTGGTGAACATGATGCTTAAGGTCTAGCTAACTACGCGGGATCCTACGTCCGTGATCTGCGAGTTTGCGGGTTTTGCAGAAAATCGGTACGCAGGTCAAGTTCAGCTGATAGGAAATACCTACACAGGGCACGGACGTATAAATAAACTGGACTGACGATCCCAATGGACCTCCTATGGAAGATAGTGAAGCCGACAAGGCGCCATTTTACGTTGCCAAAAACCCGTGCTCTGAAAGGTCATCGAACCATTACAATTGGAATTGCGTCTAAACGGATGATCGGATCGAAATGCTGGTGGTACCGTTCGATGGGTAATGCCTTGAGGCAGGGGATGATGCATGTCACAGGTCATTCGGTGTCACGTGGCGCGTGCCACGTGCCGACAAAGTCGGGAAGGGCAAAAACCTTTAAGCGACGCTCCAAATTAAACGGTGGGCGGCACAGGTGCCAAATTCACAGGTCACATGTCCCGGTGTTTGATTATTAACATGTGGCATGCTCGGCAGCAGGGGGTGCGGAATGCACGCGCCAGGGGCGAAAAACATGTTTTGAGGATGCATCCTCCGATTCCGGAAAACCTTGTCCTAGGCACACCAAATTTGGCACACTGACACTACTGGACGAGCGCTTTAAGGCGCTGTGCAAATAGATGTGCTGGGGTACACGGTTCACGTGCTGTGCACGTGCAAACCTTTTGATGTTGCACTCTGTGTCACATATACGGGCAGAGCGGGTAGCGCTAGCAAGCTCAAAGTGCCAAATTTACACAGGCCACCCAGAATGCATTCCAGCATAGTTATTGAGCATATCTATCACCTGGTGGACCCCAAAGGTGCGCTCTGCACGTGCAAAAAATTATCCGCGCCGGGCGGTGGGGATGCTTGGGCACCCCATGTAGGTTTATGTAAATATCTCGAAAACGGCGTTGTGGAGCGCCGCCGTTTTTAGCACACCCTTTCATGAATCTTTTTCACACATGCTGCATAACTTTCAGACCCAGGTCACTCAAGGCTAGGTCACCAGGTTACGTCCAAGTGGCCTTACCTTAGGAAAAGTTATAATGCCTGTCATAGCTACACAGACTGAACAATCGGTCTAAAACGTTGGCGGCGATTACTAAGAGCACCATATAGGTATACGTAAAGTATCTTATCCATAGTGAAGTATCAATTATCCATAGTAAAGTAGCTTATCCATAGTAGGTGTCAACCACCACTGATGGCGTCGTAACATGTTACGAAGGCACTAAAACTATAACTTCTTAAATGTTAAACTGAATGCTAAATTCGAAATCAGCTCCAAAAACTGTCCTAGAAACATGTAAAACTCGAAAAGGTGAGCCAAGGTCATTAAAGGTCAGTTATCTTGACCTTACTTTCACGTGACCTTGACACCCACCATATTGCATGTGACTTACAATCAACATCATATCACATGTTTGAACGCTTGAAACCACGAAAAGACAGCAAACGCGCGGCTAGTGCGCGCCGACGTACGCCGAATCACGATTCCGGCCAAACGTGGCCTCGTAATAATAACTTAATATCAGATGCTGATCTCCCGCTACTCAGTCAAGTTAGAGCTAGTCTTGGCCGCGGTCACCGGCCCAGGCCACCACATGATATTAAGTTATTATTACGAGGCCACGTTTGGCCGGAATCGTGATTCGGCGTACGTCGGCGCGCACTAGCCGCGCGTTTGCTGTCTTTTCGTGGTTTCAAGCGTTCAAACATGTGATATGATGTTGGTCACATGCGATATAGTGGGTGTCAAGGTCACGTGAAAATGAGGTCAAGGTCACTGACCTTTACTGACCTTGGTTCACCTTTTCGAGTTTTACATGTTTCTAGGACAGTTTTTGGAGCTGATTTCGAATCAAGCATTCAGTTTAACATTTAAGAAGTTATAGTTTTAGTGCCTTCATAACATGTTACAACGCCATCAGTGGTGGTTGACACCTATTATGGATAAGCTACTTTACTATGGATAATTGATACTTTACTATGGATAAGATACTTTACGTATACCTATATGGTGCTCTTAGTAATCGCCGCCAACGTTTTAGATCGATTGTTCAGTCTGTGTAGCTATGACAGGCATTATAACTTTTCCTAAGGTAAGGCCACTTGGACGTAACCTGGTGACCTAACTTTGAGTGACCTGGGTCTGAAAGTTATGCAGCATGTGTGAAAAAGATTCATGAAAGGGTGTGCTAAAAACGGCGGCGCTCCACAACGCCGTTTTCGAGATATTTACATAAACCTACACGGGGTGTCCAAGCATCCCCACCGCCCGGCGCGGATAATTTTTTGCACGTGCAGAGCGCACCTTTGGGGTCCACCAGGAGATAGATATGCTCAATAACTATGCTGGAATGCATTCTGGGTGGCCTGTGTAAATTTGGCACTTTGAGCTTGCTAGCGCTACCCGCTCTGCCCCTATATGTGTCACAGAGGGCAACATCAAAAGGTTTGCACGTGCACAGCACGTGCACCGTGTACCCCAGCACATCTATTTGCACAGCGCCTTAAAGCGCTCGTCCAGTAGTGTCAGTGTGCCAAATTTGGTGTGCCTAGCTTAAGGTTTTCCGGAATCGGAGGATGCATCCTCAAAACATGTTTTTCGCCCCTGGCGCGTGCATTCCGCACCCCCTGCTGCCGAGCATACCATATGTTAATGGTCAAACACCGGAACATGTGACCTGTGAATTTGGCACCTGTGCCGCCCACCGTTTAATTTGGAGCGTCGTTTAAAGGTTTTTGCCCTTCCCGACTTTGTCGGCACGTGGCACGCGCCACGTGACACCGAATGACCTGTGACATGCATCATCACCTGCCTCAAGGCATTACCCATCGAACGGTACCACCAGCATCTCGATCCGATCATCCGTTTAGACGCAATTCGAATTGTAATGGTTCGATGACCTTTCAGAGCACGGGTTTTTGGCAACGTAAAATGGCGCCTTGTCGGCTTCACCTGAATGGAGGTGGTTGCGGGTCCAGTTTAATTATACGTCCGTGACACAGGGTCGGCTACACTGGGGTCACGCAGATTCAGTCAAGGAAATCCCGGACGTTCAGTACAGGAAATGCCGCCGTGCCGGATAGTCAGGACGGTCAGGATGTTCCGTACCGATATAAAGTTCAGAGCTACGAAATTTTTTGCAGAATCTGCGTGATTGCGTGATACGAAACAGTTGTTGGCGCACTTGGTGGCGCACCGTATGATGTGACGTAATTAATAATTGTTTCTTTAATTTTCATGTGTTTTTGATTACGGAGCGAGCGAAGCGAGCGTAGTCTTTCCTTAGATTAACGGAAATTTCTGAGTATGAGCGGCCGGCCAGCCGGCCGGCCGTGCGGACGCTTTTGCGAGGCTTATATCTCAGCAACCACTCGACCGATTTACATGCGGTAAATTTTGTAGGGTAGATTCATTCCTTCTACCAAGTATTGGACTATTCCCGATGCATGTGCAGGGGCGTCGACGCGTAAGGAAAACTGGTCCGACTTTTTCTCGGGGGGCCCCCACCGGTGGGGGCCCCCAGGTGTTAGGTTAGGTTAGGTTAGGCAGGGGCCCCCGTGGCCGCAGCTGGGCCCCCGAGAGCCCCAACAGCTGGGCCCCCGCGGCCACAGCAGGGCCCCCGCGAGCCACAGCAGGGCACCGCCTAGTCGAAAAAGTGGTCCGACTAGTCGGAAAAGTCGGACCGGTGTCGACGTCCCTGTGCATGTGGGTGACCCCTTATGCACGTGCCACGTGCAAAACGAAGAGGTGTCAGTTTTATAATTGTTGCAATATCTCGGTAACTACTTGGCCGATTGCGCTGAAAGTTGGCATGTAGGTAGGCACCCACTAGGCACTACATATCCATGTGCCAGAGTTGGGGTGCTGCTGCACGTGCGCACGTGCAGGGGTCGTTTCCAGATCTCGAGAACGGCTCAACCGATTGTGCTCAAATTTGGTACACAGTTAGGGACCGTTTAGTAGGGTGCCGTGCACAAGTCAGTTGGGACCCATTTTGCACGTGCGCACGTGCAGGGTGCCGCTTCCAGATCTCGAGAACGGCTGGGCCGATTGTGCTCAAATTTGGCACATCGCTAGAGACCGGTTAGTAGGGTGCCGTGCACAAGTCAGTTGGAGGTACCCCTTCGAAATTTCGCACGTGCAAGGCTCACCCTCTCGCTCGCTCCGTTAGTCGCCCCAAAAGGCGTTATACTGGTGTTTTATGAACCAAATAAACTTATGATTAATAAAATAGTATAGGAGATAGCAAACTTAAGCGTTTTTTGCGAAAACATTTATTAATTGTTACTATTACGTCAGCATACAATAATTCACGGAAATTCTGGAAAAACGCAGAAACCGATATCAAGGGAGTCTCGCAATCACGGATCTGCAGATCACGCACGTAATTGCCTGGACGGTCACGCATAGTGTAGCTCAGCCTTTAGTAAGCTTTGTCATAACAAGACTAATAAAACTTTATTGCCGGATCAAAAGCGTTATCACAGACTTATTCCAAACACTCACTTGCGAACGCGATCTTACCTTCGAGGGATCGTCCTTGCACTTGTCGATGCAGGTCTTCAGGTCGGCGCCGGCGTCCTTGGGGAGGCGCGCGCCCCTCTTCAGGAGGAACTCGGTCATCTCGACCTGAGCATTTCTGTACGCCTGCTTCAGAACGGACACCTGTGGGCGCACAGTTATGTCTGGGTCAGCGTATCCCGAAACAGTTTGACATTATTTTGGTGGCACCCAATAACAATTGTAGCGCTCTCATCATAGCGTTAATTCGAGTGATATTTGTAACAAACTTCGCACCACCGCCACCACTGCTGCGGTATTATCACCCCACGCTCTAACAGCGCTACCACGCTGCTGCGCCGGTCTCGTCCCGGCGCCACTCACGTCTGCGTTGTCCTGCGAGTGCACGCTGGCGCCCTTCTCCAGCAGTAGCGTGGCCAGGTCGACGAAGCCGCTCTCGGCGGCCATCCAGAGCGGCGTGCGGCCGCTCTTGTTCTTCACGTCCACCCGAGCGCCGCTGGCGACAGGCGGGCAGGTTATACAAGGTGGAAACTGAGGACGTGCACACTCACACACACACACGCACACCGAGCGCCGCTGGCGACAGGTGGGCAGGTTAGAGCGGAGAAAACTGAGAACCTACATACCCCCTCACACACACACATACACACCGAGCGCTGCTGGCGACAGGCGGGCAGGTTATACAAGGTGAAAACTGACGACGTGCACACTCACACACACACACGCACACCGAGCGCCGCTGGCGACAGGCGGGCTGGTTAGACCAGCGGAAAACTGAGGACCCACATACCCCCCCCTCATACACACACACCGAGCGCCGCTGGCGACAGGCGGGCTGGTTAGACCGGCGGAAACTGAGGACCTACATCGCCCCCCCCCACCCACACACACAACCACACCGAGCGCCGCTGGCGACAGGCGGGCAGGTTAGACCGGCGGAAACTGAGGACATACATACCCCCCCCCCCCACACACACACAAACACAACGAGCACCGCTGGCGACAGGCGGGCAGGTTAGACTGGCGGAAACTGAGGGCATACATACCCCCCCCCCACACACAAGCACAAACACATCAGTAATACGCATTGCCTCGTATACGAGGTGAAAACTGAGGACCTGCACCGTGGCTTTATCCCCGTATCTCTCCATGCCCCCACGGAGCAGCGCTCGGTCTCACCGTCTGATGAGCATCTCGGCGAACTGGAGCATGCCGGCGGCGGCGGCCGCGTGCAGCGCCGTGTCATGGTGCACCAGAGACTCCGTGTTAACGTGGGCGCCGGCGTCCAGCAGCAGCTGGCCCAGCTCCGTGTGGCCCAGCATCGCCGCCTCCATCAGCGGCGTCACCCCTTGCTGCGGCGCCGGCCGGACGGGACACGAGTCAGGACAGCGGACGGCCCAGTGTGGGGGCACACTGGGGGAGACGCACACTTTTCACGCATGAAATGAAGTTACCATTTCCTAGCCAAATTTCCTAACCACAAAGCCTGTTCAGTCACTAACCAGGTGTCTTGGACTGCCAAATAAAAAGAGGAGTACAGCGCTTTGCTGTCCGGTGACACTGTCTGGATCTGTCTGGATAAGGTCAGAGATTCAGCTTACCCTGGCGCAGTTCTCGATGAAGTCCTTGGTGACTTTGGTCCTCTTCAGAAGTGATTTGACGATGTCCAGATGACCCTTCCGGCAGGCCAGGTTCAGGGCGTTCACCTTGGTCTTGGTTGCCTTGATGTTGGTCTTGGCTCCGTAGGCAAGGAGATAGCTGGAAACAGGGGTAAGGTCATTGGTGATTTGATCCGTGGGTTTTAGAGGCACCCGGACAGTGCTGGTCAAGTGGTCATCACTCATCGGCAATGTAGTGGCAAGTCCATAGGGTGCCCTCTGTGTAACGTTATCGCTCAATAAAGCAGTCGACTCGCCCACCGGAGGCGTATCCCCGCCATCCTGTCCCTCTCCCGCCCGTTCCACTGCACCAATGTCCTCCCCGTCTAAAGAGCACCTCGGTCCGGCCACCCCACCCCAGTACCAGTCTCTCCCGCTGCCCCGGTTCCACCCACTGGACCGTGTCGCCGTGGCCGTGGGAAGCGGCCAGCATCAGGGGGGTGACGTTGGCGCGCGCCGCCGGGTCCATCTCCTCTCTGAACGACATCTTGCTGAAGTTGCCGCCGTCGATGTCGGCGTCGGCGTCCATGAGCAGCTCGATGGCGGCTGTGTGGCCGCCCTGGGCCGCCAGGGCCAGTGGCGTCAGCGACAGTGCGTTCTCGTGGCGCACGCTCGCGCCGCTGCGGGGACAGGGGGAGGGACCGTCAGAGACAGCGACAGCGCGTTCTCGTGGCGCACGCTCGCGCCGCTGAGGGACAGGGGGGGGGCGTCAGGGACAGACTGGTGCCGCTGAGGGACGGAGGGAGGGGACCATCAGGACAGACTGGTGCCGCTAAGGGGTTAGGAGGGGGACCACACAGTCAGCGACAGCGCGTTCTCGTGCGCCGCTGAGGGGGGGGGGGGGACAAGGGGGAGTCAGAGACAGACTGGTGCCGCTAAGGGGACAGGGGGCGGGGGACCACACAGTCAGCGAGAGCGCGTTCTCGTGGCGCACGCTCGCGCCGCTAAGGGGACAGGGGGGGGGGGGGGATCACAAAGTCAGGACCAGCGCAAATACTCTCATAACAAGTATCTAGCGGCATCTGCATCTAAGTACACCTATCATGGGGACAATTAGTCTGTCTTTAATGCCGACTTTACATAGTTTGAACCACCCGGTTAGAGAACTCGCAAAGGTCCTGAAAGTACTATGGCAAATCGCTTCAAACTATTAAGTTTCATTTCCCACTCAACATCTAAGGAGATATTAATTGTTTACGGCCATAAAATATGACCATCGCTGTTGTGGCGTTGTTGACTCACCGCTGCAGCAGCACGGCCATGGTCTCCATGTGCCCGTTCATGGCGGCCAGGCCGAGCGCGGTGTCGCAGCTGGATTTGGTGACGCCCTCGATGTCGGCGCGGTAGGCGATCAGCGCCTGGACGGCGTCGGCGTGCCCTCCAGAGGCGGCCAGGTGGAGCGCCAGCACCCCGGCCTGGTTGTACTCCTCTGAGGACACCGCGGCAGGGATAGGTCAGCGGGAGGGGAGGGGATTCTGCTCTGAAGAAACTACGGTGGAGAGAGGCCAGAGGGAAGGGTCGGTTGAGACGGCGTTAACAGGTCAGGGTTGCTGTCTCCGCAGTTATTTTTGCCATTGATCGTTCTGTGCTAGATTACGTTATAAACGTCCTAACTGAACATAAAAAATGAAGAAAACGTATGTTATCTGATTGTAGAGACCCCTATTTGGATGTGGAGGCGGGAGGGCGAAGGCGCATTCTTAGAAACTAAAGTATGAATGTACGCAACTCAGAAAGAACTTTTCCCTAAGAATAGCAAATCACTGGGGCGGGGAACGCCTTATCTGCTCACGCTACCCTAAAGTTCTCTATTGATTCACACTCTGGTGAACTGACCGGTGTGCGCTCCGCTGATGAGCAGCAGTTCGATGGCGTCCTTGTGACCGGCGCCGGCGGCCAGGTGTAGCGGCGTGTCTCCCTTGGACGTCACCACCGTCACCAGCCGCTCCTTGTTCATCATCACCCGGCGAGCTGCGAATAACGGATAGACCGTCACCACCGTCACCAGCCGCTCCTTGTTCATCATTATACGGCGGGCTGCGAATAACGGACAGACCGTCACCACCGTCACCAGCCGCTCCTTGTTCATCATCACCCGGCGGGCTGTGGGTAATAGCACGGGAACAGATAGGACGTCAGTATACCGACACAGGAACGGACAGAGCCGTCACCACCGTCACCAGGCGCTCCTTGTTCATCATCACCCGGCGGGCTGCCGGAACGGACACGGAGTCAGTACACGGACACGGAGAGAGCCGTCACCACCGTCACCAGGCGCTTCTTGTTCATCATCACCCGGCGGGCTGCGGATAACGGCACGGGTAACGGCACGGCGTCAGAGACCAGGGAAACGGACACGGGACACGGACAGACCGTCACCATCGTCACCAGGCGCTCCTTGTTCATCATCACCCGGCGGGCTGCGGATAACGGCACGGGTAACGGCACGGCGTCAGAGACCAGGGAAACGGACACGGGACACGGACAGACCGTCACCATCGTCACCAGGCGCTCCTTGTTCATCATCACACGGCGGGCTGCCGGAACGGACACGGAGTCAGTACACGGACAGTGGACACGGACAGACCGTCACCACCGTCACCAGCCGCTCCTTGTTCATCATCACCCGGCGGGCTGCCGGAACGGACACGGAGTCAATACACGGACACGGGACACAGACAGACCGTCACCACCGTCACCAGGCGCTCCTTGTTCATCATCACCCGGCGGGCTGCGAATAACGGACAGACCGTCACCACCGTCACCAGGCGCTCCTTCTTCATCATCACCCGGCGGGCTGCCAGAACGGACACGGAGTCAGTACACGGACACGGGACACGGACAGAGCCGTCACCAGGCGCTCCTGGCTGATTGTTCATCATCACACGGCGCGCTGTGGGTAATGGCACGGCGTCAGAGACCAGGGAACGGACACGGACAGAGCACGGACACGGAGTACGGACACGGACAGAGCACGGACATGGCACGGACATAGCACAGACGCTGTGTCAGGGCACCGGCAAGGCAACGGACACGGACATAGCACAGACACGATACGGATGATAACGCGATTAATAACTAAGACAATAACTTAAGTTTGGACAGGGATTCAAACACGGGATTTGAGCCACCATTTTACCGACCATTTAATCGTCCGATTCAACGTTCATTTAAAATATTTAATGGAATAATCTTCTGTTCAAAATTCTAAAAATTGCCAAACGTTACAAAAAACACTTGAATATATTTCGGAGGCGTTCCTTCATAGGTTCAAGTCTGACTTGAACCGATGAGGGAACGCCTCCGAAATATATTAGTGTTTTTTTTTTAACTTTTGGCAATTTTCAGAATTTTGAACAGAATGTTGTTCCATTAAATATACTACATATAATGTTGTTCATCAGAGTGCTTCGTCATTTGATTGCAATTACGGTTCATGTAAAAGTTAATTTAACCTCACAATTTTGAGTGTCCGTTAAAACATCCGTTTAAACATCTGTCTAAATGTCTATTTAAAATTCAATTTAAAATTCCATTGAAGAGCCCATTAAAAAGTCCATTTTAAAGCCCATATCAAGGTACATTTAAACGACCATTTAAAATTATATTTAAATGTTCATTTGAACGTCCATTTAACAGTAATTTAAACGTCCATCTAAACTTCCACTCGAACGTTCATTTAACCCTCGCCCGTATTGATGTTTTTCCAGCCACGAAGGTATAAGGGGGGGGGGGGGGTCCGTTGGACCCCCCCTTGCCGTTTCGCCCCTGATCGAGCTAGAGCTTCGCGGAAAAAACGAGCGTGTTGCCCGTGACGAGAGGAAGCCGACGATACCCGATTTTAAGGTCCTTGGTCATCGGTTGACCTTCCAGGTCAGGTCAATGACCCAAACGTCGGGAAAATCGGGACCTGTTAGAAAGTCGTAAAGCGTGGCTGCTATGGGGTTTTTCGGGGTGCTGATCACGAATATCATGTTAGTTTTGATCACAGATGATGTTTTCATGCATTTAGGTCAGGTCGGGTCAGGTCAGGTCAGGTCAACCAGTAAGGGTATTCGTAGTAGGTGGCAACCGCCTCTGACCGCTTCGTAACATGTTACGAAGGTGCCAAAACTACTTCGTAAATGTTCATATGGTTGCTAAATTCGAATTCAGCTCCAAAAACTGGCCTAGAAACATGTAAAACTCGCAGCGCATCGCAGCGATGACCAGCTAAAGGATCATAAACATAAATGGGAAAACTCATGGGCTGAGCGATACGGTGGAGATATTTGCTGGCATGACGTATATAGAAACATTTTTGAGGCAACTTTATCTTCTTCTTATAGGGCATTGCATTACAAAATTGTTACCCGTATCCATGCCACAAATACATTGCTTCATAGGATAGGTATCGCAGACAGCGACGAATGTGTAAATTGCCATGATGCTCGAGATACATTAGCACATAAGTACTGGCAATGTTCAATGGTACGTAGTTTTTGGGATGATATTAAATTATGGCTTCTCGAGAGCAATATCATTACAAATGGAGATCAACTTTCTGAACTGAATGTGCTTCTTGGGACTGCAAATAACAACCTTACCAATCACGTAATTATATGTACCAAGGAGATTATTAGACGGGGTAAGGGATTGCACTTACAACATTTGCTTCAGTGCCTTAAAAGAGACAACGTAACTGAACATTACATTGCAAACATAAACGGAACAGTGGACCTGTACCAGAAAAAGTGGGAACATTTTCCGAGTGACATATAGTGACAAAAAAGTGAAAAAAGGGTCAGTGGAAAACGATGTGCGCGAAACAAGCCCCCGCCCCTATGACCCATCCGGGCCAACCCGGGACTGGCCCCTCCTGTGAGGGGCCGGTCGGCCGGCCGGGCGTGCGGAGCGCCGACCTAGACGGGTCGACGCTTCGCTCGCCCGGTCGGTGGTTAGGGGGCACCGCCCGGGGTTGCTTGCCGGGCGGTGCGGGCGGGGGCTGGCGGCCCGCCTGGAGCGCCGGGGAGGTAGCCATCAGATCTCCCCGGCTGGGGAAGCATCCCCCAGCTCTCCCCAGGGCCGTGGACGGCACCGTCCCGGCCTGGCCAGGCGGGCCGCCGATGGTGAGCACAATGTTTCATGCTTATTTTTGCCGGTGTTTTTATGTGAACTGTGTAAATAAAACTGTGAAAAAAAAAATAAAAAAAAAAACATGTAAAACTCGAAAAAGTGAACCGAGGTCATCAAAGGTCAATGACCTGACCTGACCTTCCGGTGACCTTGACACCCACCCTAATGCATGGGAACAACATCATATCCCATGTTTGAACGCTTAAAACCACGAAAAGACTGCAAACGCGCGGCTAATGCGAGCCGACATATGCCGAATCATGATTCCGGCCAAACATGGTCTCAAAAAGTAGGTCACAGGTCAAAGGTCATTAGGGTCAGGGTCATGAAAATTTAAGGGTAAGTGTAAAATTAATTAACGCGAGGGTACTGAAAGTTTCGTCGCGATCGGCCGCTTTTTACGCGAGTTATTCGCGAAAAAACCGAAGGGGGTCCGTTCGACCCCCCCCCCTATCCGGGCGAGGGTTAAATGACCATTTAAATGTTGATTTAAACCTGATATTTTGAACTTGCATTTAAACGCCGATTTAAATGTCTATTCGAATGCCCTATTTATGAAACGTTTATTTACACATCCATTGAAATACATATGAAAACACTGATTTAAAGCAAATGCCCGATCAAACACTTTTCTATCTATATTACTATTTGAGGAGGGTGCGTCTGTCCGTTACCGAGGTCCCGACTTGGTGGTGCTTTGCGTGGACTGCAGGCCAGACCGTTGCACCTAGCCCGGTGAAATTTGCACAACTCATAGATCAAGGATGCGCGACGTGCCTTTGAGGGGTCTCAGCTCGATCGGGTCGATAGGGAGCGCGTGGTGCGTGCTCAAAAAGTGCAAATTCGCGTCATAGACTTTACATGTATAAATCGGCGTGCGAAATCGGGCGAAAATGGCTAATTTTGGCCGACACGGGTCCAGTTCCCGTGCAATATCTTGGTGACCAGGGATCCGACCGGCACGGGGAAAACAGCATCGTGTACAGAATTGAACGGGCTATTGAATGGTGTGCAATGCAGAGGATAGCACGCGCCACGTGCACCGGAGAGGGTACTTTTATTTGAAAAATTGCGGTTTTTGAGGGATTTTGGAATTAATTTTATTTTTAGGTGACCGTTAAATGGAGCGAGTTGAATCAACGCCTATTTGCAAGAGAAAGGTACCGCCTCTCATATAAAAATTATGAAAAGCTGATTGATCCAAATCAAGGTGGTGCAAATCACAGGAGAAAATGGTGTTTGTCAATTTTGTGCCACTTTATTAATCACACGGGGTTTGCTGCATAACCTGATACCTTTGGCAATTGAATATGGTACCATTGGATAGAGCATTCAATTCTGTCCAATATCCACTCTTCATTTTTGCATAATTAGCAACAGTATCCTTAAAAATGTAAATGTTCCAAACCATTACATTGTCATTTTTAGCGAAATTCATCGATGGCCCTCAAAAGACTTCACGCCAGTTTTCGAATCATTCTAAAGTAGAACGCATGATAATACGACACGGGCACCTCGATGCGATGTATCTTTTTTGCTTTATTAGAAAATGCTTGGCCTTCAAAAAGCAATCGAACGAAATGGATACCAACCAAATCGACACAGACCAACCCAATACCCACGGGTCAACAATAACCCTTCTTCGCGTTGCGGAGCACGCGGGTAACCCTAGTTAAAACCCATTTTAACACAACATCAAACACGACCAAATTCGTCAGCAAAAATACAAAACACAACACAAAAATGGAGAGCGCGATCCAAGCATGAAAAGGAGAGACAGAACACAAAAGGCGCGAAGCAAAGCGGACATTGACAGCGTTAGAACAAATCCACATCATTGCGGACAAACGGCAGCGTTGGCGCCACGGTGTGTGGATATCAATGAATTAGCAACGACAAACTAAAGACTGGTTAAAATAAAGTATCAAGTAGTAAAAGATGCATAAAATCGCGTGACGGAGGTCACTTTTTACTTATATGCATGTCTAGTAATAATCGTCTAGGAAATTGACTGCGTAATTATTGCGCTAATTACGAGCGTTCACTAATACGTTTATTTATACATACATCTCCCTCACCCTGGCACGCGTAGTTATTCTCACATTCTGATTTATGAATAAGATGTAGTGCACACATTTCGAGATTATCACTTACCAGCGAGTCCCTTGGGGGGAGACATTGCCCTCGGCGGAGGATCCTTCACTTTCCGATAGTTGTCCCGAACCTGACAGATACCGGCATTCAGTTATACTCGTACATACAGTGCGCATTAGACGATAGCCCGAGCTAGACACTGGCATTTAACACGTGCTGGAACTGAATGGATGTCAATAGTGTCATTCATGTAGTAACTAGCACGTATGATAATAGGGATGCTGAATACTGCATACATATGTCAGTAGCCGCTATAGGCTGGCTCATGCACTGAACAACGTCGAGCATCTTATTTACATCGACGCACCATATTCGTGAAAGTCCCGTTTACGCACAGAGCATAAAACAACATAACGGAGCGCCGCGGAAAAGGAGATACAGTTCCAGACACCAGATCCGTCAGGGGGACCCACCCACCTTGGCCTCAAACTGGTCGATCCTCTTGTTCATCCGCTCCTTCATGGAGTCGAGGCGCGCGCCTTCCTCATTGAGCTGCTGCAGCGTCAGCTTCCTCTCCTGCGGGAACAGGGCAGACGCGAATGGTGACCGGGGCCCGAGAGTCGCCGGGGAGGCTCACAATCGGCCGACGGCAGCCGGGATGGCAGCAGGCCGCCAAACAGACCCGATCAGCCTCCCACAAATTCACAATAACTGTACCACACAAACTGCCAATCGAGTCTCAACGCAATGGACCCCTCGCCGTCGGACCTCTCCAGTCTCCTCTCCGCGTGACCTTCCACCTCGATCACTCTGTTCCCGCCCCGCCCCTCCATATGCCCCTTACCTCGGGGTCAGCCGACAGCCGGTTCACCCCCTGTGTTCCTCCATCCCGGTGTCCCTCACCTGACCAGCTCTGCTACCCTATGTGTCCCGTCCCCTCCCCTCCCTCCCTACCTAACTCCCCTCCGGGTCCGCCGGTAGCTGGTCCAGGCTCTGTGTTCCGCCCCTCCCTTCCTCCCTCACCTCCGGGTCTGCTGGTAGCTGTTCCATGCTCTGTGCCCCGTCTGCATCCCTCCCTCACCTCGGGGTCAGCCGGCAGCTGATCCACCCTCTGCGTTCCTCCTCGCCCCTCCCTCCGTCCCTCACCCTCACCTCCGGGTCCGCTGGCAGCTGGTCCATGCTCTGTGTTCCGCCCATCCCCTCCCTGTGTCCCTCCCTCACCTCGGGGTCTGCGGGCAGCTGGTCCATGCTCTGTGTCCCGTCCCGCCCCTCCCTGTGTCCCTCACCTCGGGGTCCGCCGGCAGCTGGTCCAGGCTCTGTGTCCCGTCTGTCCCTCCGTTACCTCGGGGTCTGCTGGCAGCTCTGCCACCCTCTGTGTTCCGCCCCTCCCTCCCTCCCTCCCTCCGTTACCTCGGGGTCCGCCGGCAGCTGGTCCAGGCTCTGTGTCCCGTCTGTCCCTCCGTTACCTCGGGGTCAGCCGGCAGCTGGTCCATGCTCTGTCTCCCGTTTGCATCCCTCCCTCACCTCGGGGTCTGCCGGCAGCTGGTCCATGCTCTGTGTCCCCTCCCCTCCCTCCCTCACCTCGGGGTCAGCCGGCAGCTGGTCCAAGCTCTGTGTCCCCTCCCCTCCCTCCCTCACCTCGGGGTCAGCCGGCAGCTGGTCCATGCTCTGTGTCCCGTCCCCTCCCCTCCCTCCCTCACCTCGGGGTCTGCCGGCAGCTGGTCCAGGCTCTGTCTCCCGTCTGTCCCTCCCTCACCTCGGGGTCAGCCGGCAGCTGGTCCAGGCTCTGTGTCCCGTCTGTCCCTCCCTCACCTCGGGGTCTGCTGGCAGCTCTGCCACCCTCTGTGTTCCGCCCCTCCCTCCCTCCCTCCCTCCCTCACCTCGGGGTCAGCCGGCAGCTGGTTCAGGCTCTGTCTCCCGTCTGTCCCTCCCTCACCTCGGGGTCAGCTGGTAGCTGGTCCAGGCTCTGTGTCCCCTCCCCTCCCTCCCTCACCTCCGGGTCTGCTGGCAGCTGGTCCATGCTCTGTGTTCCGCCCATCCCCTCCCTCACCTCGGGGTCGGCGGGCAGCTGGTCCATGCTCTGCTCGTATTCGGCCTGCCGCTCCAGGTACTCCTTGGTATCGTCGCGGATGTCGTCCAGGATGAGCTGCGTCTCGGCCACGCGGTACTGGATCTCCAGGGCCTCCTCCTCGTCACTGTCCGGCAGGAGCTGGTCCACCGGGACGCCGGAGAGCGCGGCCAGCTCGGCGCCGTACGCGCGCACCAGCACCGACCGCTTCCGGGCTGAGGGGACCGGGGAGGGGACGGTCAGTAGGACCGGGGAGGGGACAGTCAGTGGACGCGCGCACCAGCACCGACCGCTTCCGGGCTGCCAGGGACCGGGGAGGGGACGGTCAGTAGGACCGGGGAGGGGACGGTCAGTAGGACCGGGCAGGGGACGGTCAGTAGGACCGGGGAGGGGGACGGTCAGTAGGACCGGGGAGGGGACGGTCAGTAGGACCGGGCAGGGGACGGTCAGTAGGACCGGGGAGGGGACGGTCAGTAGGACCAGGGAGGGGACGGTCAGTAGGACCGGGGAGGGGACGGTCAGTAGGACCGGGCAGGGGACGGTCAGTAGGACCGGGGAGGGGACGGTCAGTGGGACCGGGCAGGGGACGGTCAGTGGGACCGGGGAGAGTAGGACAGGGGAGGGGACGGTCAGTAGGACCGGGGAGGGGACGGTCAGTAGGACCGGGGAGGGGACGGTCAGTGGGACCGGGGAGGGGACGGTCAGTAGGACCGGGGAGGGGACGGTCAGTAGGACCGGGGGGGGGGACGGTCAGTGGACGCGCGGACAGCATCGACCGCTTCCGGGCTGAGGGGGACCGGGCAGGGGACGGTCAGTGGGGAGGGGGTGCAGCACGACGGGACGGAGGACACAGAACACAGCGGGCACAGCGGGGGGTACGGGGCGGGTACAGCGGGAGGTACAGAGGGCACAGCGGGAGGTACGGAGCGGGTACAGCGGGAGATACAGTGGGTACAGCGGGAAGAACAGAGTGCTTACAGCGGGAGGAACGGAGCGGGTACAGAGCGGGAGGTAAAGTGGGTACAGCGGGAGGTACGGAGGGCACAGCGGGAGGTACGGAGCGGGTACAACGGGAGGTACAGAGGGTACGTACGGCCGGAGGAACAGGGCGGAGACACACCCGGCAGTCGTAGGAATAGTCCCTGTATGAAGGACGGTCGCAATTTGCATGCCAGGGGGACGAACTGGGACGGCCACACGACCCCAGCCGGTCGGATTAGTCTCCCCGCAGACCAGCAATCATACGCACATTCTGCCGAGAGGGACATGGCCTCTGTTCTGCTCATACACATGACGATTTTAGTCACAATAGGTATTGTATTCGGACGCTAAAGTCAGCGTGCCCAAAGAAGCTTTTTTTGCGCGTGCCTGATGTTTACCAGCCTATCAAAAACGACTTCGTAGCATTGGAAACCCAGACGCTGAAGCCAAGCGAAATCTGCCAGCGGAAAGCGTCCCGTCCTGCGCACATACTTCAACTGGCTGCAGCTGCTGCCACCAGCCGCCCATAGACAATACCAGAGTGTTTGTATGGAGTACCAGAGCGACTCGAGTCTCCTCAGGAGACCTCAGTGCTTTACCAACCGAGGTGCAGGACGGACGACGCAGACCATGCATACAGATTTGCTGTCGACCGACATCCCAAGGAGACAAACTTTTCTTCAATAGCAGCAAGCACCCAGCTTCGCATCGGCAAATGTTCTCTTTCGCACATGATTTCTTCTTTACCCCAACGTCTTCGTGATATTTGCACCAAAGCTCATGCAGTTACGGTCTTGTTCCCATGCACGTCTCATTAGATTATCCCCCGAGAACTCCAAGCCGCACGGTCCTGAGCATTGCACAATGCACAATGCACCGCTGTCGTGCCATCATGCACAGTCACCCACCTGGCTGGTCGGTGACACAACTGTGACGTCACCGGTGTCGAGGCAGTACTGACGATGACGTCACTGGTGACAGAGTCACTATTGCCGCGAGGAGAGTGCTCCTCCTTTACCAGCTTCTCCCTTCAGACGAGAACTCATTGTCGTACGACACAGCCTCAAACTAGCGTGAAACGTGCTTCCAGGACGTTTATTGAGAAATAGCGGCGAAAACACGCAAGTCATCCAAACGAACAATCGAAATGAGCGTCTTAACACTAACTAAGCTGGACTATGAAAGCACATCCCACTAGACATCGAGTCCAGAGCAACGCGAGTGAAGCGGAAAGTGACCCCGATTTCTCCACTGCCCGAGCCGAGGCTCACGAGCGCTCCGAGCTCCCAGATAAGGTTCACCCAGCTTTACGGCAGCATCGTCAACTATAATCGCTGATATTCACCACTTTGGATGATGGACAACATTCACCCACTTTGGAACACCACTAACCGCACACTTTTGATGTTTTTTTTTTTTGACATGTTGATTGTAACGTCTAACGATTCCAGGAACCAGGCAGGGGCAGCCAGTCAACGGCCGGGCTCTTGGCTCTCAAACATCGTCTACCAGCCAACAGAAAGAAGCAGTGCCCCCGAAGTAGCATAGCAGAGTGTTCCCCAGTCATTAAAGAGCATACCTCAGCCATCAGCAAGCGTCCCTCAGCAATCAGAAGGCGTCACGCATCCACCAGAGAGAGACTTAAGCCATCAGAGAACACCACTCAGCCGTCAAAGAGCGTCACTTGGCCATCACAGGGAGTCTCTCAGCCACCAGACACGGTCCTCAGCCATCAGAGAGCGTCCCTCAGCCCCCAGAGAGCGTCCCTCAGTCCCCAGAGAGCGTCCCTCAGTCCCGAGAGCGTCCCTCAGTCCTCACAGAGCGTCCCTTAGCCACCAGGCAGCGGTCCTCAGCCGTCAGAGAGCGTTACTAAGCCCCAGAGAGCGTCCGACAGTCGTCATAGACCGTCTCTCAGCCATCAGACAACGGTATTTGTCATCAGCAATCGTCCCTCAGCCGTCAGAGGGTTCCTCCTTCAGCCACGAGGAAACGGCCATTAGCCCTCAGAGCGTCCCTCAAACATAAGAGAGCGTCCCTTGGTCATCAGTGAGCGTTCCTCAGATCATGAAATTTCACCCATTAGCCATCAGACAGCGACTATAAGCCACAAGACGACCATAAGCATTCAGACAACGTCCATTGACATCACCTGGCGGCTATCAGCCGTTGCCTGTGTCCTCCCGCTGGCTGAAGTGGAGGCGGCCGCTCGGTTTCTCAGACAGCAGCTCCCCCTCAGACAGGAGCTCTCCCTCGTCCGACTGGAGCTGGCCGTCCCCAGGCTCGTCAGACAACAGCTGCCACGAGGAGGAATCCGAGCTGACGTCCAACAGGGCAAAGGACGAGCTGGAGTCCGTCCCCTCAGCTTCAACTCCGCGGGCGACAGGCCCTCCGTCATCTGCGCCCTCGCCATCGTCACACTCGTCGTCGGCACACTTATTACTTTCGTCGTCGCTATCGCTTTCAGTTTCTTCGTAGTTACCTTTGCTGCCCTCATCGTCTTTGTTGTGGTCACTGTCTTTGTTGTGGTCATCGTCTTTGTTGTGGTCACCGTCTTTGTTGTGGTCACCGTCTTTGTTGTGGTCACCGTCTTTGTTGTGGTCACCGTCTTTGTTGTGGTCACCGTCTTTGTTGTGGTCACCGTCTTTGTTGTTGTCACCGTCTTTGTTGTCACCGTCTTTGTTGTTGTCACCGTCTTTGTTGTTGTCACCGTCTTTGTTGTTGTCACCGTCTTTGTTGTTGTCACCGTCTTTGTTGTTGTCACCGTCTTTGTTGTTGTCACCGTCTTTGTTGTTGTCACCGTCTTTGTTGTGGTCACCGTCTTTGCTGTTGACACCGTCTTTGCTGTTGACACCGTCTTTGTTGTTGACACCGTCTTTGTTGTTGACACCGTCTTTGCTGTTGACACCGTCTTTGCTGTTGTCATCGCCCTTGTAGTCATCGCCTTTGTTGTCGCTGTCGCCGTCATCGCTGTCGCCGTCATCGCTGTCGTCGTCATCGCTGTCGTCGTCATCGCTGTCGTCGTCATCGCTGTCGTCGTCATCGCTGTCGTCGTCATCGCTGTCGTCGTCATCGCTGTCGTCGTCATCGCTGTCGTCGTCATCGCTGTCGTCGTCATCGCTGTCGTCATCACTGTCGTCATCACTGTCGTCATCACTGTCGTCATCGCTGTCGTCGTCATCGCTGTCGTCATCGCTGTCGTCATCACTGCCATCGTCATCGTCGCCGTAACGGCTTTCGTCATCATACTCTTCATTCGGTTCGTCCTCATACTGTCCGTCCTCCTCCTCCCCATACTGTCCGTCCTCCTCCCCATACTGTCCGTCCTCCTCCCCATAATGTCCGTCCTCCCCCTCATACTGTTCGCTCTCCTCATACTGTCCGTCCTGCACCTCCTCTTCCACATACTGTCCGTTCTCCTCCTCCTCCCCATACTGTCCGTCCTCCTCCTCCCCATACTGTCCGTCCGCCTCGTCTCTATAATGTCCGTCCGCCTCCTCCCCATACTGTCCGTCCTCCTCCCCATACTGTCCGTCCTCCTCCCCATACTGTCCGTCCTCCTCCCCATACTGTCCGTCCTCCTCCCCATACTGTCCGTCCTCCTCCCCATAATGTCCGTCCTCCTCCCCATAATGTCCGTCCTCCTCCCCATACTGTCCGTCCTCCTCCCCATACTGTCCGTCCTCCTCCCCATACTGTCCGTCCTCCTCCCCATAATGTCCGTCCTCCTCCCTAAACTGTCCGTACTCCTCCTCCTCCTCCTCCTCCTCCTCATACTCTTCGTCGTCGTCGTCGTCCTCCTCCTCCTCCCCATACTGTCCGTCCTCCTCCTCCTCCTCCTCCTCCTCCCCATACTGGCTGTCCTCCTCCTCATATCCTTCGTCGTCGTCGTCGTCGTCTTCGTCGTCTTCGTCGTCTTCGTCGTCATCGTCGTCATCGTCGTCATCGTCGTCATCGTCGTCTTCGTCGTCTTCGTCGTCTTCCTCTTCCTCCTCCCCATACTGTCCGTCCTCCTCCTCCCCATACTGTCCGTCATCCTCCCCATACTGTCCGTCACTCAGTCCCTGCCTCTGAGGGGTGCCGTCCGCACAGGGCCGGCCCGGGGCGCCGCACATTCGCGATGTGATCAGAGCGACCTCCTCATCCAGTAGCGGGGACGACATCAAATCGCTAACAGGATCAGACAGGACCCCGGCCCAGGGCGGCGCCCAGGTGGGGCTCGCTGTCCAGTCATATGGTGTAAAGGCCGTCCTTACATTGTTTGTAACCATCCTCTTCGATCTATTTATGTTCAACATCAGACCGCCGCCGTTACTCCAGAACCGGCAGAGGGTCCCCTTTGAACACACACCCGAGCAGAGCACCCCGCAGCCGCGGTCATCGTCCAGCAGCTCAGAGACCATCCGCTCCAGGCGGGAGGCCAGACCCGGAGACGGGGCACGTAGCGGCTGACACGGGGACGGGTCACGGTCCACCAGGTCAGAGACCATCCGCTCCAGGCGGGAGGCCAGACCTGGGGATGGGACGCGCCGCTCTCGACCCGTGGACGGGTTACCGTGCAGACCCGGGGACGGGTTACCGTGCAGACCCGTGGACGGGTTACCGTGCAGACCCGTGGACGGGTTCCCGTGCAGACCCGTGGACGGGTTCCCGTGCAGACCCGGGGACGGGGCCCGCCGCCCCCGGTGGGAGGACAGACCTGGGAATGGGGCGCGCTTCTGACCTAAAGAGGAAGCGTTCGTCCCCTGACCTCGGGACGGGGCGCGCAGCGGGTGACCTGGTGACGGGTCACGGTCCACCAGGTCAGAGACCATTTTCTCTAGGCGGGAGGCCAGACCTGGCGAAGGGACGTGCCGCTCCTGTCTCAGTGACGGTGAACGCCGCTCCGGACCTGGCGACGGGACGCGCTCCGGACCTGTAGAGAGGGTGCTCTGCCTCTGACCCGGAGAGGGGACGCTCTGCCCCTGACCCGGGGTCAGGTCACGGTCCGGACTCGGGGAGGGGACGCTCTGCCCCTGACCCGGGGTCAGGTCACGGTCCGGACTCGGGGAGGGTGTTCGCTGCTCACCCCGCTCCTGCCTGCCGACGGAGAAGGCGTCCTGCCACAGTGCGCGGCGGGCCGAGGGCCGGGCGGCGGCGCCGCGCCGCGCCTCCCTCTGCGGGCGCTCCTCGTCGGAGCCCGTCTCGGCCTCGTCCACCAACTCGTCGTCGTTGTCGCTGCCGGAGTCGCCGCTGGCGCCGCCGCCTTCGGAGCTCGTCTCGCTGTCGTACCCGCCGCTGGAGGCTCCGTTCGCGCCGTGCCCGTTGGCAGCGCCGTTGGCGGCCCCGTTGGCAGCGCCGTTGGCGGCCCCGTTGGCAGCGCCGTTGGCGGCCCCGTTGGCGGCCCCGTTGGCGGCCCCGTTGGCGGCCCGGTTGGCAGCGCCGTTAGCGGCTCCGTTGGCAGCTCCAGCCGCGCGATTTGCATCGCTCTGGAAACAGAAAACCTGTTCAACTCCTCGACACTCAAACAGGATAGAAGTTAGTAGTTCGGCGGCGAGGGAGTTACTGGACAGAGGGTGCCGACTATGTGCTAAATGCAACCCGTGTCAGAGCGACTACAGGTACGGACAGTTACGGTATCTAAGCACGGAACAACAATCGGTGTTACGTATCCAGTGGCTCGTGACAGAAAATTACACTTGTGCTTTCACTACCAAAGTGAGTACGGTTTGAAAATATCAAGCGTTGCTTCTCAATAACAGTAACATTCACGATAGCAATGTTCTCAGCATCCGCAAATAAAGCCGATAAACATAAATTGGGACTGACGAGACGTCCAGTGCGTTCCAAAATGTCAGCCCGCCCTCGCACTGCTCTGTAACACATAGACGCTTAGAACTCACCAGTGCCTCCATGTTCTGCTGGATGGTCTCGTAGTTGAGCAGCATGTTGAGCACCTTGGTGAAGCCGTGGGAGGAGGCGATCATCACAGGAGTCAGCCCGCTCTGTGAACGGAGCAGCAGGCTCATCAGGAGGCTGGCCTGACTGCAAGTCGTCACTAAAAGCGACACGATTCGATGATGCCGCATACATAGAACTGAGCGCACGCCTCAGCACTGCGTCAATGAAAAATGTTGCCGAGTCACATTACGCAACATATTTGTGTATTTGCACAAATATGTTGTATTTGTGCAACATATTTGCAACATATTTGTATACGTGTATTCATAAGGTATGACGGCTTATATGTTTTGGGTAAAAGGCAAACTCTCAAGCCGTGTTTACAAACTGAGTACCTGCTGTTTGCGGCGCGGGTAGGCACCGGTGCCCCCCTCTCCCCCCCCCCCCCAGCCACTGACCTGCAGTTTGCGGCGCGGGTCGACGCCGGTGCCCCCCCCCCCTCTCCCTCGCGGTGACCTGCCACTGACCTGCAGTTGGCGGTGCGGGTCGGCGCCGGTGCCACCTCTCTCCCCCGCGGTGACCTGCCACTGACCTGCTGTTTGCGGCGCGGGTCGGCGCCGGTGCCCCCCCCTCTCCCCCGCGGTGACCTGCCACTGACCTGCAGTTGGCGGTGCGGGTCGGCGCCGGTGACCTGCCACTGACCTGCAGTTGGCGGTGCGGGTCGGCGCCGGTGACCTGCCACTGACCTGCAGTTGGCGGTGCGGGTCGGCGCCCTTGGCCAGCAGCAGCAGCGTCAGGTCGGCGTGGCCGCCGTCCACGGCCACCGACAGCGGCGTCATGGTCTTGTTGAGCGGGCTGTCCACCTGTGCGCCGCGCTCGATCAGCAGCTCGGCGGTGTCCGTGTGACCGGCGGCGCAGGCGGCGATCAGCGGGGTCCGACCGTCCATCGTACGGTAGTTCTGGGGGAGTCGAGGGGATACAGGTCTGAGGTCACTACCGTATATCTCAGGCGGCGATCAGCGGGGTCCGCCCGTCCATCGTACGGTAGTTCTGGGGGAGTCGAGGGGATACAGGTCAACACTGTGTATCTCAGGCGGCGATCAGCGGGGTCCGCCCGTCCATCGTACGGTAGTTCTGGGGGAGTCGAGGGGATACAGGTCACCACTGTGTATCTCAGGCGCCCGTCCATCGTACGGTAGTTCTGGGAGTCGAGAGGGCACCGGTCAACGGGAGCCGAGAGGGCACAGGTCAACTTTGTATACCTCAGGCGCCCGTCCATCGTACGGTAGTTCTGGGAGAGTCGAGAGGGCACTGGTCAACGGGAGTCGAGAGGGCACAGGTCACCACTGTATACCTCATGGCGGCCGTCCATCGTACGGTAGTTCTGGGGGAGTCGAGGGGATACAGGTCAGTGGTCACTACTGTGTATCCCAGGCGCCCGTCCATCGTACGGTAGTTCTGGGGGAGCCGAGAGGGATACATGTCAACGCTGTATGTATAGACCAGGCGGCGATCAGCGGGGTCCGCCCGTCCATCGTACGGTAGTTCTGGGGGAGTCGAGGGGATACAGGTCAACTTTGTATACCTCAGGCGCCCGTTCATCGTATGGTAGTTCTGGGGGAGCCGAGAGGGTACTGGTCTGAGGTCACTACCGTATATCACAGGCGGCGATCAGCGGGGTCCGCCCGTCCATCGTACGGTAGTTCTGGGGGAGTCGAGAGGATACAGGTCTGAGGTCACTACCGTATATCTCAGGCGGCGATCAGCGGGGTCCGACCGTCCATCGTACGGTAGTTCTGGGAGAGTCGAGAGGATACAGGTCACTACTGTGTACCTCAGGCGGCCGTCCATCGTACGGTAGTTCTGGGGGAGTCCAGAGGGGATACAGGTCACCACTGTGTATCTCAGGCGGCGATCAGCGGGGTCCGACCGTCCATCGTACGGTAGTTCTGGGGGAGCCGAGGGGATACAGGTCAACTTTGTATACCTCAGGCGCCCGTTCATCGTATGGTAGTTCTGGGGGAGCCGAGAGGGTACTGGTCTGAGGTCACTACCGTATATCACAGGCGGCGATCAGCGGGGTCCGGCCGTCCATCGTACGGTAGTTCTGGGGGAGCCGAGGGGATACAGGTCAACTTTGTATACCTCAGGCGCCCGTTCATCGTATGGTAGTTCTGGGGGAGCCGAGAGGGTACTGGTCTGAGGTCACTACCGTACATCACAGGCGGCGATCAGCGGGGTCCGGCCGTCCATCGTACGGTATTTCTGGGGGAGCCGAGGGGATACAGGTCACTACTGTGTACCTCAGGCGGCCGTCCATCGTACGGTAGTTCTGGGGGAGTCGAGAGGATACAGGTCAACACTGTGTATCGCAGGCGGCGATCAGCAGGGTCCGGCCGTCCATCGTACGGTAGTTCTGGGGGAGCCGAGGGGATACAGGTCACTACTGTGTACCTCAGGCGGCCGTCCATCGTACGGTAGTTCTGGGGGAGTCGAGAGGGCACCGGTCAACGGGAGCCGAGAGGGCACAGGTCAACTTTGTATACCTCAGGCGCCCGTCCATCGTACGGTAGTTCTGGGAGTCGAGGGGATACAGGTCAACACTGTATACGGCGGTCGGCAGCGTCCGGCTGTCAACTGCGCGGTACTTCTGGCTAGGTTAGGTTAGGTAGGGAGAGGCAGGGGAGGAGCATATGTCAATCCGCACGTCTGATGATACATAGATTCACCACTGAATGATGCCTACAATAGATACATGAAACGTACATTTTGTTGTAAATGCTTAGCGAACAGCGAATGGAGAGAGATAAGAAAAATTACACGCGCTAAAATATTCAACTACATTAGTTCTATTCTAATGACATTCTATGCGCACGTCTACTTAATGGTCATTGGTCATCTGGGTTTATAATAAGCACATGCATTGATACAACAAAATTTACATGCTGGATTTCACATTTCCATTAGTGCGAACTTACGAGCACGTTGAGCTCGTTGTCTCTGTCGATGTCGAGAAGCGTCTCTATGATGTGCACTTGTCCGCAGGAGGCTGCGCTGAGCACAATCGTCTCCACACGGGGCTTGGTACCCTTCTCCTGTTCATGTCTCTTCAGTAACTCCCTGGAAACCGGCGACAGGGCAGGCAGTCAGCAACGCTTCCCGGTATAGGACTAGGTGCGAAAGAATCGTAACACAAAAATGATATGCATTCGCCAACAGCGATATATCCGTTGAATGCGAATGTCCAATCGAATGTCGAATAGTTTTCGAACAAGATATAGTTTTCGACTAATAGTTTTCGACGGATGCTTCCCATGTTTCAGACATCGAACGTCAGATGTAATGACTTTTTGTGGAGCTAGCTAAATTCACTTTAAGGTCTGTTCTATACGGGTCAAGTAGTGGCAGTTTAGCTTCGAATACGATTAGAGCAAAAGAGCAGATGGAAACGAGTGCGGCTAACGAATATGAATGTAACATTAGTTATATTTACAATAAACTTGAAAGAAAAAGCAGGGAGCACACTCACAGTATGGTGTCGGTGTGACCAGCGCGGATGGCCTCGAACATCGAGGACACGTCCGTGGCTACGAACGCGTCGTGCTGAGGACGGAACAGACGGGCAGCGTCAGTCACCGGCGTCAGTTCGTCAGAAAACCAGAACACACACACACACACACACACACTGACGGTGAGACTGGCACCGTCGGCTTCCGGCGTCAGTGCATAAGAAGGCTCTAAGAAGCTCAAATTATTTCAACTGAGCCGTAACTAACACAGCATATCGACACCTTTTTTTAAACCCCACATTTGTTCTCCCGTGAAGTTCAGACAAGTTGTTTAGAAACCTTCAAAAAAGGTACAGTCACTCGATTTTTCTCAAGTTTGTCTGTCTTGGCAGATCAAGCAATGCCAGAGCAAGCTTACGAACACACAAATTTGATCAGGATCGGACGATTGGACACTACTAAAAAGAGATCTTTCGTGCTTCCCGGAAATTCACCGGAGAACAGATGTGGGGTTTAAAAAAAGGTATCGATATATTGACGAGCACGGTATGGAGCACAGAGTGACGGCCGACAGTCACCTTTATCAGCAGTTGGGCGCACGCCTGTCGGTCGAAGGCCATGGCTCTACTTAGCGCCGTATCGCCGGTCCTCTTGTTGCGGTACTCGAAGTCGGCCTTCTCCACCAGCAGGCCCTTCACCAACAGGACGTTTCCAGAGCTGTGGCGACAACAGAATATACGGTTATACATCAGCAGGCCCCTCAATAACAGGACGTACCCAGAGCTGCGGCGACAACAGAATATACGGTTATATGTACATCGGCAAGCCCATCACTAACAGGACGGTTCCGAGCTGCGGCGACTACAAACCACGGTTGTTAGAACATAAGGGGTGAACATTTCAATCTTTAAACATTCCTTCATTCTTCACATGACCTCTAGTTTGGCGGCCTCAAACAGCAAAGCCCACATCCGGTGCTCACTGCTCACTGCTTATTATTGTTCTCCAGACACCTCTGTTCCCTCCCCTCTCTCCCCCTCAGACCACCCTCTCTCTCTCTCTCTCTCTCTCTCTCTCTCTCTCTCTCTCTCTCTCTCTCTCTCTCTCTCTCTCTCTCTCTAACTCTTCTACCCCCTCTCTCTCTCTCTCACCCTGCGGCCAGTATCAGTCGGGTGTCCCTGCTCCCCCCTCTCTCTCCCTCTCACCCTGCGGCCAGTATCAGCGGGGTGTCTCTGCTCCCTCTCCCTCTCTCTCTCCCCTCTCCCTCTCACCCTGCGGCCAGTATCAGCGGGGTGTCCCTGCTCCTCTCTCTCTCTCTCTCTCTCTCTCTCTCTCCTCTCTCTCTCTCTCTCTCTCTCTCTCTCTCTCTCTCTCTCACTCTCTCCCCCCTCTCACCCTGCGGCCAGTATCAGCGGGGTGTCCCTGCTCCCCCTCTCTCTCTCCCTCTCACCCTGCGGCTAGTATCAGTGGGGTGTCCCTGCTCTCTCTCTCTCTCTCTCTCTCTCTCTCTCTCTCTCTCTCTCTCTCTCTCTCTCTCCTCTCTCTCTAACTCTAACTCTTTCTACCCCCTCTCTCTCTCTCACCCTGCGGCCAGTATCAGTCGGGTGTCCCTGCTCCCCCTCTCTCTCCCTCTCACCTTGCGGCCAGTATCAGCGGGGTGTCTCTGCTCCCTCTCCCTCTCTCTCTCTCTCCCCTCTCCCTCTCACCCTGCGGCCAGTATCAGCGGGGTGTCCCTGCTCCCCTCTCTCTCTCTCACTCTCTCACTCTCTCTCCTCTCTCTCTCTCTCTCTCTCTCTCTCACTCTCTCCCCCCTCTCACCCTGCGGCCAGTATCAGCGGGGTGTCCCTGCTCCCCCCTCTCTCCCTCCCTCTCACCCTGCGGCCAGTATCAGCGGGGTATCCCTGCTCTCTCTCTCTCTCTCCCTCTCACCCTGCGGCCAGTATCAGTGGGGTGTCCCTGCTCCCCCTCTCTCTCTCTCCCCCTCTCTCTCTCTCTCTCTCTCTCTCTCTCCCCCTCTCTCTCACCCTGCGGCCAGTATCAGTGGGGTGCCCCTGTTCCCTCTCTCTCTCTCTCTCCCCTCTCTCCCTCTCTCTCACCCTGCGGCCAGTATCAGCGGGGTGTCCCTGTTCCCCCCTCTCTCCCTCTCACCCTGCGGCCAGTATCAGCGGGGTATCCCCATCCCCGTTGACATGGTTCACGTCTGCTCCGCGCTGTACCAGCAGGCCGACCGGCTTGGTCTCCCCGCGGGAACAGGCCAGCGTCAGAGCCGTCTCCTGTGACACGGGCACAGGTCACAGGTCAGTGACACGGATACAGGTCACAGGTCAGAGACACGGGCACAGGTCACAGGTCAGTGACAGGGACAGAGGTCACAGGTCAGAGACATGGGCACAGGTCACAGGTCGGTGACACGGGCACAGGTCACAGGTCAGTGACACGGGCACAGGTCACAGGTAAGTAACACGGGCACAGGTCACAGGTCAGTGACACGGGCACAGGTCACAGGTCAGTGACACGGACAGAGGTCACAGGTCAGTGACACGGGCACAGGTCACAGGTCAGTGACACGGGCATAGGTCACAGGTCAGTGACACGGACAGAGGTCACAGGTCACAGACACGGGCACAGGTCACAGGTCAGTGACACGGGCAGAGGTCACATGTCAGTGACACGGGCACAGGTCACAGGTCAGTGACATTTGAAACTCCAAGGTCATTGCCAGATTCCACCTCGCATAATGTCACAAATTTCCTATATCCATGGTAAGGTAATGCATTCCCATTATGTGTAATGTAATGGTCTGCATACGTTTGTCAGTAGAATGGTTTATCAATCACGCAATTCCCTCCCAACAGCCGCGCGATCAGAAGTTATCCAGAGCAAAAAGCTCGCTCCTCACCCCGTCATAGCTGGAAGCGTGGTTGACATTCGCCCCAGCTGCGAGGAGTTCCTGAAAAAGATCGCCATCCATCGTCATTTAGTACCAACTAAAATGTTATATAAATGCCTAATAGGCTAAATAGTTGATGTAGCGTTTCACCATTGGCCTTTATGTTTACAAGCCTGCATGCATTTCTCGTTAGTCAGCTAACTGGACTGGGAGTTAAGACAAAATATAGCGCTCGACGTAGCTGTTGAGCGCTTCAGCGACGCTTTGGCGGGACCACTGGCGCTCCTAGTCCTCACTGCCGTCGGACCTGCGAGGGTAGACTGTACCGCAGCGCGCGGCGGCGCGGCGGCACAGTCTACCCCGCATGTCCGCGGCGGACGGCGGAGGACGGGTGGGCAGATAGACCGCCGCCGGGCCACACGGAGTTCAACCAGCGCGGCGTAGGTAAAAGGTAGCGATTTACATAACTGTCATCTGACCAACCAATAACAGAATGCTGTCATTTGACACGTTGTTAAGCTAAAATAACGAAATAACCATTCATAATCAGGCACGGATGAACCCTGGCTTTTACATCAGCTGCCTCGGATACCTGACTGCGTCACTTGGCCTGAGTTGCAACAAACGCTCCCGACTGTGCGCGCAAGAGCACATTTACCATGTAGGGGAGACCCGGGAGGTACGAGTATGGCCCCCCTGGAGGTATGGGCCATCGCAGTTTTGAAGAAGTTTTGCGTATTTTTTTCACATTTGACTGCGTAAATTGGTAGCAGCCATTTAGTTATACAACCCTGTGCTTTCCAAAATCTTACTCAGACTCCTTAACCCTATTCCTGGCGGGCTCCGCCGGGACAAGAAACTGGCGGGGGGGGCCGATTCGGCCCCCCTTCAGATCTAAAAAACTACACATCGCAGCGACAAACGGCGAACGGCGTTTGATAGGTCGTTTAAAGATCTACAACTTTTACATAATTATATTTTCAAGTCAGGTCAATATTGAGGTCACCAGAGGTCATCAACGATAAAATGTTTTGGAATTAGTTACCTATATAACTTCTAAACTAAGAAACATAGAGACATAAAATCAATACATTTTTTGTTGCTCTCGCCGAGGCGATGCGAAATAAGTATGTGATGACCTTCACAGGTCAATTTGAAATTTGACCTGAGGTCAAGGTCAGGTCATTCATCAATGAGGTTGTGCGGTATGGTCATGCTGCATACCAAACGACGCGCCTTGACCAGGCGAGCAGTTTGGTACCACTTACAAGTCTTTAGCACCATCATGTCGTGATTTATTGACAGAAAAACGATTTATGACGTCACATGACCTCAGATGACCTTTGCCGGTGCCCCTGTCAATTAGCGGCACCAGGATCATCACCGATGAGATAATCGTCCATAATACTGAAAGAATTGGGTGGTTTTGACTCGTTTACACGAAGCAGGAGGCGTTTCAATATTTTCCCATAGGCTTGCAATGTAAAGGTCACGAGTCTGGCCTGACCTCAGGTCACAGATATGAAAATTCTGAGATATACAAATTACACATACTGGTACCCTAACTAAAGCCTGAAGAGAAGAAATTGATCGGTCAAAAACTCTAGCTCTGGCGTGATTGCAAACTTTTCTGAGGTAGGGTCACTAAACCGCCTCTGGGGGCGTTCCACGACAAATCGACAAATAAAAAATTAAATTTGCACCCTCACATTTTATTACTCGTTGAAAACTGGTGTAAGGGGTTGTGATGGGCGGGGAAGCCAGCTGTGGCAAGGATTTTTTTCTTCGAACAACGGTTTCCGAGATATAGCCTCGGGCAATTCCTGCAGTTCGCGCTGCAGCCCTATGTTTGGCGGCCTATAACTCAGAAACTATAGGTTTTTTACGATAAAACTTACATGGTTCAACACACAATCAACCAACAAACATTTTGGCTATCTCGGATTTTCAATTTTTGAAAATTTTGATCACGTGACCTTTTGTCCTATTTTTCGAAGAGTGACCTTGATATTTCCCCACTGAAAGTTGCAATTTTGTCTGATGACGATTTAAAGCCTTATCAAGTATCATTCATATGCGATAATAAAAAAGTGGTTATCGCCCTGCGTTGACCTCAGGTCAGGTCAATTTTATGACCTGTCCATTATTACGAGCGGGAGCGACAGCGATATCTCGAGAATAAAGCAAGATAGCGACAAGCGGTAAACGGTAAAGGGTACAAACGGATAAGGTCTATAATTTTTACTGAGGTCATTTTCAGGTCAGGTCAAAGATGACGTCACAGGAGCTAAAAGGAAGTCAAAATAGCGGCACTTTACATATATATATATATATGAAGTTTTTCTCGAATAACTTTCAAGGTATTCCAGCTAGGAACAAACTAATAGCACCATCGTGATCCTCTCGTCGATCCGCATCGAAACATATGTATTTTGACCTCGAAAGGTCGAAAGGTCAAAAGTTGACCCTAGGTCACGTGAATCCACCCTAGTCAGGTCAGGTCTGGTGACCTGACCTGAGATCAGATCAACTCAAAATTTTCAGAAATGTTGCGTAAAAGCCTTTTCTACGCTTCGTTCGAGCTCGCAAAGGCGTTGTTGTGATTATGGGTCTATGTATTGTGCACTCCAACAATGCCTTTGGGTGAGGAAAAGCCCACAATACATAGCCGAAGACGAGGGAATGTACATTGCACAACGCATCAAGCATGTACGCGAAGCTGCACAATTACACGAATGATAAAATACAGTCGCGTCGGTGGCGGAGGGGAGGTGGATGGCGAAAAGCAGGAAGCGCCGCGCTCAGCCCACGGCTCAGTGGCTGACTGCTCTCGGCGGCGCTGCGAGCGCGAATGACCCGGGCTCGGGTCATGCGGACCTGACGAGCGGGCGGTATGACGCAATCACATGGGCGGCGCTCGCCCTCACCGCGGAGAAAAAACATTATCAGTTGACTTATAATGTTACATTTCTACGCTTCGTTCGAGCTCGCAAAGGCGTTGTTGTGATTATGGGTCTATGTATTGTGCACTCCAACAATGCCTTTGGGTGAGGAAAAGCCCATTACCCCCACGAACCCGAGAACGATGCGTAGGCAGGTAAGCTTAGCAAAATTAAGTGCAGATAAAAATTTGCATAAAAGTAAAACAAATGCATTCACCCGGCGCATGTCCGGCACACAACATACAATAGCCGCAAACGGTAACTGAGGAGCGCGTGAGACGCAGCTCGCTTCAACACCAGCACATGGTCCGCAACACACGCAACGTGCTTGCAAATTAGCCAGACTACATCTGCTGCATACACGGAAGCCCCAGCGAGTTCCATTACGTTGAGAGTAATGCGCTGCTATAGCACGGGGGAGACCAGCAGAACAGGGACTACAGAACATTCGTGTCGCGAATTTCGGCTGGCGTAACTGGCACCAAACTTGGACCGGCGCGCAGCTGCATGAGCGGTTGTAGCGGCGTAACTGGCACCAATCTTGGACCAGCGCACGGCTGAGCATTACAACGAAAAATCGGCCGGCGTAACTGGCACCAATCTTGGACCAGCGCACGGCTGAGCAGTGTAGCGGCGAGACTGGCACCTTTCTTGGACCAGCGTACGGCTGAGCAGTGCAATGAAAAATCGGCCGGCGAAACTGGCACCAATCTTGGACCAGCGCACGGCTGAGCAGTGCAACGAAAAATCGGCCAGCGTAACTGGCACCAGTCTTGGACCAGCGCACAGCTGAGCAGTGCAACGAAAAATCGGCCGGCGTAACTGGCACCAATCTTGGACCAGCGCACGGCTGAACAGTGCAAAGAGAAAGTTCGGCTGGCGGAACTGGCAACCTTTCCTTTCGGACCAGTGCACGGCAAGAGAGCCAGGAGAATCACTTACATGACTCCTCTGGCCAAACTGGCACAACGACCAACGCTCAGTGGAGCATGGCGACTAACACGCACCGGAAAGAGAGCACGGGAAGAAGCACGGAATACTACAACTGCGTCGTGGCCAGGACTCTATGGCACTGCAAGTGCACCAGTATGTTCCTGTAGCCCGCAACGGACCATTTCGCCGCGACGGAGAGGGGCAAAAAAACAGCGTGAAAATGGCATGGAACGTTGAGCAATTTGAACGAAACATGGTGACTTGCCGGCGAGCGTTACATAGCTGTCCCAGCTCTAGCAAAGGCATTGCAGTACGCAAATCTCTGCTTGGCCAAAGGTTGTCAACATTTGTGACGCTGACTAGAAACAGGCTGTCAGAAGCCGACTCCCGAGGAAAGTTCTGCTCCTTTCAGACAGCGTGATAGGCTCGTGTCGTAGCAGGAGCCAGCGCCACTGCCATGAACACTTCTATGGATTACGGGGACGTGGTAGCCCCAGTCCCATGGCCTGGGCAAAAGGACCAACATCATCGGCCATGCCCTGAGATCCAAACGTGCTGTCTTTCTGACCGCCATGCGATGGTACGGACGGAACGTGCCTTGGTGCAGATCATACGTTCGGCGTAGGAAAACACTCCCAAGGCCGATCCACCCACGCACGCAAGTTATGAAACCAATGTAAGATTTGAACGTCGCGATAGGGGAGATTTTTAAGCGTTAATAGCGAGCCTAATCCGTCCTACCCCGGTGATCACTCTGGAGCTTCTCTTTCTGCCCGCTGGACGCACTCATGCTGATGTATCTACAGTACTCATTAAGAACTTGGAATGTAAAACATTCTTTACGTGGGAATGTGAGGATACGGTAGGGCTCCTTTGCCTTGCTAGAGCAAAAAGGAACGTGGAGCTCGCTGCACATGCGCTGAAGCAAATTCAGAGACGTCATGAATGCCGTCTTTGAAAAAAATATCAGCACAGAAACCATCCGTCCGAGAGGATTGTCTATGAGTCAGCTATATTTGGGGGTCGCTATTTCTAAGTGTCTGTGTTCTAACTTATAAGGTGGGGATAAATTCATTAACAGATCGGCCTCCGGAAGGGAGAGGTAGCGGTTAAAGTGTTACATCCCCGGCGTTTTCGGGAATAAGTCTGCTCGGGAAAAACTTTCTTATCCATTGACTGCTTGAGGAAGCAGGACCGGCAATGCGACCCGCGCGTCTATCGCAACTGACATATGCATCCACTATAATGGGCGACGGATCACACGAATGAAAATAGATTTGGCCGCTTGCTACTGAGGGCAGCCCCCAAACATCCAATTATGAAGCAGTTTTCGAAGTCTTACACCAACATAGGGCGCGAGAAATAAGTTATAGCTACTAAGAAGCTCACGAAGAACGACATGTGGCACGCTGATGGCGAGCATTCTGCCAGCGGGTAGTCTGCTATTCCCGAGGAGCGAGTAGGGCGGCGTGAGGGGTGACCGGCCGCTGGCTGCGAATGGCGTTGCGGCGGGGGCAGCGGAGAGCGCCGTGGTTTCCGCGGCAGACACGCCAGGAGTGGCTGTAGTGGCAGCGACCGTGCGTGCATCCACCGGAAACACAGGAGTTGAGAACTCCGCACCCCGAACGCCCCAGCTCCTACCTTGCTGATACGCTGGTGAGTGGTGATGCCGCGGCCAGTGGAGTTGAGCCAGATTGGCGAAATAGCATCAGATTCGCCCCACTTTGTACACTGTACAGGTGTGGAGGGAGCTCACTAGCGCGTGTTAACCACTTGTCATATTCCCTCCAAGAGAGCCCCATGCCGGGTGCTGAGAGAAAGCTGACTTGACGCATGTGAGCGACATTCTCAGGATGGGCTCAAGTAACCACCCGTATATCGGACAAAAACTACTGACTGCGAATGTCTGGATGACGCGTATGGATGGCTTGGCTGCAGAAGACCACCCACAACGCTGAAGGTGCCGACACTACAGACTCCTCATGGCGAGGATCAGAGGTACAAAACCAGTTGTCAAGATTGACAAAACGGTGGCTCTCGATGTTGTATCTGATAGCTGATACACTAAAAGTGATGTATTGTAATTATTATTTTTTATATCTAATTTTAAAGGCATGTCGCTGAACCTGAGGTATTACCTGGGTGTTCGTCTCCTCCGGAACTGCGCCGGCTACTCGAGACCTAGAGATGGTCCCGACGACGTGTGCTGCGTAGATGGGACGGGGATGACAGCTGGTGCAGCGGCCGCGACTGGCTGCCTGAAACATCCCGACGACTATCCCGTGCAGCTGTTTTTTGCTGATCGCGATGGTATCGGCAGGGGCTGCTGGTGTAGCGGACGAGTGTAGCTGGGCACTGAGCAGTCCTCAGAGATGCTACTGCGTCAGCCAGTGCAGGGACTGGAGAACGTCGGGGCATAGCGGCGACGGAGTTGCCTCTGGGCGCTGTGCAGCCCCTGAGGGCGCCCCTTGTGCTCTGCGGAGCGACGCTGGACGAGGTGTGCTTGTCAGGCCGGCTGCTGCGTGTTGACGCCGAGGCTTTGGGTGTGTCGATCTCAAGCTCGAAAAGCAGGAAGCGCCGCGCTCAGCCCACGGCTCAGTGGCTGACTGCTCTCGGCGGCGCTGCGAGCGCGAATGACCCGGGCTCGGGTCATGCGGACCTGACGAGCGGGCGGTATGACGCAATCACATGGGCGGCGCTCGCCCTCACCGCGGAGAAAAAACATTATCAGTTGACTTATAATGTTACATTTAGGAAAAGTCAGAAAATTTGAGCTTCCTAGCTCAAAGCGTTTGGGAGAAATAACCAAAAAACCTCAGGGGGGGGGGGACTCCTGAGGCCCCCCGCCAGAGGGTTAAAGAATGAGCGGCGATAAAGCGTTTTTGCCCTCTTCGTGTAAAATACGGTACATACAGAAATTTCGTGATTTATGTGAACGAGGATAGTCTTATCATGTCACACCATCGCTAACATAAAGTTAAAAGCATGCAAATTAAGACTGGATAGACAATTTGAAATTTTCTTGCAAGATTATGAGCTGAGATGCTACGCGTATTTTGACCTCCTAACCGGGAGGTTCGGGCCACCCACCCCCGGTGATCCTTAATAAACAAAATGATGCTTTCATTCAATGTCCTCTTCAATAAGTTTTCTTTTAGTCGCGCGTGGTCGAAAATTTAAGTACAAATTGCATTCGAACAGAAAAATATTATTGGTCTCATGTCATGGACCGTGATTGAGCTTACCCAAATAAATATGGGGCCAAGTGACCTCCATAAAGTAAGCTGTTGGCCGCTTATGAGGTGTATGGGCTCTAAGAGCGCTCAAGGTAGATCCCAGCTACGAGTATTGTTCTCAATGTTAAGAAAAGAATATGAAACATGACACCGGTAGTTATGGGCCATGGCCCATAACTACCGGTGTATTTTGCTGGATCAAAAAAGCGCATGATTTATTCAAAGTTATCTCGAGACAAAATAGTTGATCCCAGATGCCTTATATCAGACACACTTTACAGGCGAAAGGCAATTTTACGCACGTAGAGTGAAAAACCAGGTCTAGCCGCTGCCCACAGGAAGAAAATGGCCATTTCATAAAACCGGCCCATACCTCTCGGGTCTCCCCTAATGGTCAAACTGGTCATTAACCAGTGATCAATACATAAAAATGAAGCAGAACCGAGTGTCCGACTCACCTTGATCTTGTCGACATCGCCGGCGATGGCTGCCTCCATCAGCCGAGTGCGCTTAAACAGTCCCCTCTCGACGTCCATGGCTGAGATGTTTGGTTCTAATGAGAGCAGAGCGACTACCCTGACACCTGCCGGCGAGCAGGGGAAACACTGCCTGTCAGCGGGAAATCGGCAAACATTGCTGTGCAATATCCGAGACAGTTACGATAAATGATAACAATAACAGGACAAATGTTTATTAAAATTCACAAGGTTTTCGGTATGTAAATACCTTGGTCACTGTGTTAGTTCAAGACAGAAAAGGACGGAGATATTTCGTGAAGACACAGTGACCAACACATACCAACACATAGATACCAGTTGTTTTTCAATAGAAAAACACAATTCTAACGAATAGTGTTTGTTTTTTTTTTCAAACAACCTGCGGTTATTCGTTTTTGTGCATGTGCACTAGTAAGAAAATTAGTTAGTTTGTCAATTATAGGCAAGCATGAGCAATAGCCAAAATGCTGGATTTTATATCACTGATATTTCATAACACAACTTATCAACGTAAAACGTTCTATTCTAACCCGCGCGGGGCTGGGGTCTCCAGCCGAACGCGCGGGGCTGGGGGGGGGGGGTAAATTTTACCCCCCCTGTTATCTCCCGAACTAACGGTCCGATTTGGAAAATTCAAACGCCAATCGAAAGCTCTCATCACGAACTACTAAAAACATGTACTTAATTTAAAGTTTGAGGTCAAGGTCAAGGTCAGGTCAAGGGTACAAATTGCAAGTTTCTACAGTATCGGCCTTGCACCGTAGTTGCCGAAGAATGGAGTCATGGACTGAGACTGATCGCCCAAAACGTGTTCTTAGGCTACCAAGACAATATTCGTTGCATACAATATCATTCAGAGGTCAAGGTCAAGGTCAGGTCAGGTCAGGTCAGGTCACCAAAAAACAAAATATAGAAAAGGGCATGTGCGACACATGTTTTATGGGTCATTTTACTCATAGAATTCAATAGGCACACTCAATAAGTGATATGGACCACCTCTGGATGAATTTCAGGTCGAGGTCAGGTCAAGGTCAGGTCAAGTGAGGTCAAATTTTGAAGTTGGTTGTTAAGGCCTAAAAAGGTGTCTATCTGATGCAGTTTTTCACGGCGAATCGAATGGTGCTATTTTTGTTTCCGTACGAAGTCTAGAACTTCCAAAAAAGTCATTTTTCAAAAAATTCGTGTGTCGTGACGTCATAAAATTTTGAATAACTCCCACATTTTTGAACCGATTCTTCTAAAATTTGGTATGTAGGTGCACATAGACCACTTCTCTGACATATATTCCGGTTTTTTCGATAGACTCAAAATTTTGGATTTTATAATGATTTTCCGAAAAAAGTCAGTTTTTTGAAAAAAAAATTAGGTCAAAATCCAAAATTTTCAAAAAACCGAGATAGCCATTTGATAGACAAAGTAAAATTACGTATAACCTTTTTTTGTTACGTCTTGATTCCTTTAAAAATGAAGATGTTAGCGGCGTTTGAACTTTTGCTGTTTTTGAGGCGAAAATGACGAACATGACGTCACTAAAACGTCAATTTCTCAAAAAATTTCCGACGGATTTCGCTCAAATTTTCAGGGAACGTGTCAAATTGATGTAAGAAAAGGTACTGAAAGTTTCGCGGCGCTGCGCGCCGCCGTTTTTGAGATATCGCAAAAATTCGCGAGGGGGGGTAAAATTTACCCCCCCAGCCCCGCGCGGGCTAACAGATATTTTCTATGGCTAACGAACCTATCGAATGATGCTTTTATAAACTGCAATTGGTTGATTCGTATGAATTGCGTTGAATGGACGATAAGAGAGAAGTTAAATTTATGGCCTCTGAAAAAGTAAATGAGGATAAAATAAGGTATTGATGTTTGAATAGAATCGAAAGAAACAAACACATTCAACAAGTCAAATATACGAATGTCCAATGATTATCTCAGAAATATGGAGCCTCAGCACCATACATTGCTGGAGGAATGCATGCAGGGAAAATCTTAGCGCCGGCAGACCGAAGCGATGCCTTCCCCGTGCGAGGAATGCACTGCACACAAGCCATAACTAATCCTAGCCCGTGTTGGGCCATTTTACAGCGTCTAATACATGGAGAGGGAGGGGGGGGGGGGCGTTGGAGCCATTAGCGTCGCTACCGGGGGGGGGGGGGGGCAAGCGGGACAGCTTGAAACCTCCGACCGGGCACCGATGATTTGATGAGATTGTGGGGTCGGGAAAATGGAGGCACCTTTGTGAGAATGCCTGTGAGGTTGGACCCGGTCGGAGCCTGCAGATCTAGCCAGAGTCGGAGTCGGAGTCACCTAAATGTTCAATACTCCGTCTCCAAACTCGGAAAAGTCAATGCTTTGATTCAATCCATGTTCCTCGTTGGTTCTGCTTCAAATTTTACAACCGATTTTCACAAATCGTGTAAACTGACACGTTTCCTTTCGGCTTTCCAAGCGTGACGCAAAAGCATCTGGGCCTGCTTGGGGCCTTTCCAAACTCTGATCAAATGTCTCTGCGACAGGTTAGGTTTAGTTCAAGTACCGTTCAAGTGCCACAGGTCTCATGAGGGCCTCAAGATAGTGTAAGAACTTTTTGTTAGAGTCGAAATGTGTTTTTCAAACGTGAGGCTTATATTAAAAAAAATTACCATTTGAGAACCACGTCAATCCAGCCGAAATAACGACAAATTCAAACTCTGCTAAGAGTAAGATGTCTTCCGGTTGGGGCGGAGATTAGCCGACGCTGGAAACCTTTCAGGCATAATTTTGTGTTTACACACCAGTAACTAAAAAAATTACCGGCCAATAATTTTCGTAATTCTTTTACCATAAGATTGCCTGTACCTCTTTAAGTCTTCACAGATCTGAAGCGAATCGATCACTAGCAGCGGTTAGCGGTAAGCAGCGCAATGCGAAGAATGAACCGTCCTGCGGCGGCAGCGAGGATCGGCCAGCGCCGGCCGCCGCGCCGGCGGAATTTTTGACTTAACACTCCTGTTAAGTGTTACTAAAAGGTTGTAAACCGATTTGCTTATAAAATATTTACTATTTCGATTAACAAATCAATGTTGGGCAGGCACTGAAAATTTGGCGTCGATAGTATAATTACAGCGTGAGATTTTTGCGAAAAACAGGAGCGGTGGGCGAAATTCGCCCCCACCCTTCCACTGCGCGTGTTAACCCGCGCCCCGTTGGGCTCAGCCGAGCAACGCGCCCGGTTGGGGGGGGGGGGGGCATTTTGGCCCCCCCCCTAAGATCTCGAGAACCACGCAACATAGCGACAAGCGGTAAACGGCGTTGGATAGCCCCAACGGGGAACTACCTTGTGACCCAATTTTATTGACCTAGGTCAAACCGATGACGTCACAGGTCAGGTCAAAGGTCCAATTTCACCGTTTACAGGCACTTCAAGAAATGCGTTGTAAAATCGAGTAAAATGCATTTCATTGAAAATCATTGATGGGGAAATGTTCTTCAAACACATATTTTGCTATTTGAGGTCACTGATACCAGGTCAGGTCACAGAGGTCAGGTCACGGGGGGGGGGGTCACAATATGAAAGTGTCGTGTGATACATGTTTTATGGTCCATTTTACATGACAAATGCGATTATATGGGTCAGGCAGCCTTTGGGGCCAGCTTAGATCACGTTTTGGTCAAGGTCAGGTCAAGGTCAGGTCAAGGTCAGGTCAAATTAGGCCAAATTTCAAAGTTAATATTTTTGCATAAAATGGGTATCGAATCGATGCAGCTCGTCACGGGGAGTTCAATGATGGTCTTTGTTTTGCCGTACGTGGTCCAGAATTGCTAAAAATTGAGTTCAAAAATTTGACGTCATCATTTTTGAACAGTTTTTTTCGCTATAACTTGGCCAAAAAACGAGATATCGATCTGAAATTTGGTAGGTATATAGAAGAGCGCTGGGACTATCACATATATTCCGGTTTTTTCGAAATTCGGAATTTTTTTGGATTTTTTCAAAGTTTTTCTAAAAAATCAATTTTTTGAATTTTTTTTGGTCAAAAACCAAAAATTTTGAAAATCCGAGATAGCAGTTTTGTAGCGCCGCTTTTTGTCTACTAGACCATATAAAGAACTTTGAAATTGCTTGATAACTGTAGATTTGGTGAGCGTTTCAAGATTGCATGTTTTTTGCTCGTTTTTGCTCGAACATGACCTCAGTTTGACCTCAATAACTCCTGACCTAAGGTGACCTAAGACTTGAAATTTGGTGTGAAGGTGTCAAATTGATGCCCGGGAAGGTACTGAAAATTTGGCGGCGCTGAGCGCCGCCGTTTTCTTGCTATTCAGGAAAAACCACAGGGGGGGGGGCCAAAATGGCCCCCCCCCAACGGGGCGAGGGTTAATACCGGGCTTCTCAAAAACGTTAGACGGATTTCTTTTGCGAATAGAGGACCCCTAACAACATTTAAGCAAAATCAATGCACGTGGAAAACGGAGAATTTTTCGTATATTTATATGACACCATGGTTTGAGCTTAAAAAATGAAGCCGTGGTCTTAGGAAGTAAAAGCATAACTCGTAAAATTATGCTTTCCCAGACTAAGTCGGTCGGTTCGACACCACGGAAGATTCGTAAACACTTTAGGGCAAAGAGAGTAACACTTGAAACAAAATTTTCCACATTATTGACAAGTTTCTGGCTCGAGGAAGTGTTAACAATAGGTTTACGCAATTCAAGGAACACAGCGGAGGCCACAAACCCAATCAAAGGCTCACGGCGAACACCACTCGTGCGAGAGATGCGCTACTCAGACTGTCAATCGTCAGCGATATCGGATGGCTCTGGCGATGTTTTGGAGGGTTCTGCAATATCAGCATGAGCAGAGATCCGGAAACGCTTAAGATCCAATGGTTCCAGCAAGACGATGCCACGCCAATACCGCTAAAGAAAACCGGAAGGGGCTGTGGGAGCGCTTCGGGTAGCGCGTGATCTCGAGGTTCGAGACACGCCCGTGGTCGGCGAATTCTCCGAAAGTAATCCCACCGGACTTTTCCCTATAGGACCACCTCAAGTCTCAGGTGTACCGAAACCACCCAAAAAGTTCCGGAGATCATAAGGATGCAGTGAAGTC